TTTCGCACTGACAACTACCAGAACCAACGACCAGATCCATCACTGGTTTCATGAGACTGTTCAGCCCCTCGAGATTGTCCACGGGACTGTTGAGACTTTGGATGTTGAAGACGGCTCCATTCACCAATCCCGCACAACTGAATCTCTTGGTACAAGAGTTCGCACCAATTCGCAGGCCCTTGCGACCGGCACAGGCACCTGGGCCGAGACAGGACCGGCTTTGGATGTTGCCAGTAATCGAAAGACAGCTTCCGCCCCCGATACAGGCCCCGATTTCGGTTGTCAGTGACCAATTAGCTTCAGACAGCCAATCTTCAGCGAAGGCACAAGCGGTAGGCCCTTTGCATGAGTTTGGAGATATTTTGGATTCGCGCATATGGCAAGCTCGAATTCCTATGCAACTACCCGAGCCGATGGTTCCGTCCGCAACCGTACAAGCTTCAAAGTCCCTGCACGCTTCAGCGCCAACGGTAACATCAAATGCTCCTTGACAACTACCCTTCCCGATGCAAGATTCTGTTCCAATTCTAGATCCTTGTCCATTATTAGGACTAGTAGCACCTATTCCTTGACAACTGCTATCCCCGCTGCAAGATCTTTGTCCAATGCTCACAATATCAGCCAGCCAACAGGCAAACGGCCCTAGACAGGAATTCGTAGCAATACCTCGAACAGTTTGCATGCCTTCGCAGGCACCCATCCCTATGCAACTGTTGCACCCAACGAGTTCTTCTAGTGCTCCTTGGCATGCCAAGAATTGTCTGTCTCCTCCGTCACACTTGTAGCAAGTAGGTGCCAATGATACAGGACTCTCGGTAGGAAACGGCGTGGGAGGTGGAGTCGGCGGTTGCGTTGGGCCTGGAGTCGGCGGTGGTGTCGGACCAGGAGTAGGTTCCGGCGTTGGTTCGGGCGTTGGGGCTGGTGTAGGCTCCGGAGTTGGTACGGGCGTTGGGGCTGGAGTAAATAGTTGCAGCACATTCGAGGGACAATTCAGAGACGACGCTAGTTCGTCATTGACCGATGTACTCCTGTAACCAATCAATAACCATTGGTTCCTAGTATCCACTGCAATTGCAAACTCAACGTCACCAGAAGCACACCTGTCCTCGTCAAGATTGCCGCCTTCTAGAACTCCAATGCATTGGACACCGCAGTTGTCTTCTTCCTTCAGAACAATTAAATCCTTGTCGTCCGTTCTGCAACTGTGTCCAAACACAGTATCGCTTCCACTGACTCCATCAAAAGATCCGCCTTCAAAGAAGCGACCGACACCACTGCAAGTTGGACTTTGAGTTGGAAGCGGGGTGGAAGGTGCTGCACTTGGTAGAATCGAAGGAGATGCTGTTGGGTCCGGCGTGGAACCGACCGCTGGGGCCTTGGATGGTGGGGTAGTCGAAGGAGAAGACGTGGGCAAGCCAGCTTGCTGTGGGGTTGGTGCATTGGATGAGGCATTGGATGGGGCACTGGACTCATTGATGTTCGACACGGTCAATCTAATATCACGGCATGCATCGACCAAATCCAATCTTTGAACAGCTTGCTCGGGATCGCCAATGAGTTGCATGATCAGATTTATTAAACCAAAGTCACTGGTTTCCTCTTTCAAGAAAAGATTCAAAATAATTTGAAATCGATAACAGGTGGATTGTGCATTGTTATCACCATCGCAGCTCATTCCTTCAAGATGCTTTCCGGTAGCCAAGGCGTTTCTCACATTGTAGTCGGATACTTCCAGGAGAATTCGCTGCTGGTGGTTGCGGAGTTGTCGACGTTGGCGGCTACCACCACCACCAGGAGTCGTTGGTTCGCATCCAGCCAAACTAGGAGCGAATCGTTGTCGAAAGGCAGTCACAACTTGCTGTAGCAAGTCGGCAGGATCACTATCAAATGTCAATGGAACGACATCCAAGTCCACTCTAAATGATTTCGAAATCAGTTGGTCCTGGTCTGTAACATGTAGTTGCGAGGCAATGTTTTGACAATCTCTTTGAGATGGCACGTTCGGGTCAATTGCACTTGGCGACTGTGTGGATACGGTTGGTGCAAAAGTGGTAGGCGATGGCGTGACGATCACCTGTGGGACCGAAGTGACTGCAGCTTTGTCTTCGTTATTGGACTTGTTTCCACCACTCAAGACGACAGCCGCAACGACGCCACCAACTATAGCCAAAACGGCTATGGCAATAATGGCGTACTTTTTGGTATTCGACGGCGAGTCTTCGGAAGACGGAGATTTCTTTTTTTCCTTCGTGTCACTATATAATTCCGTTCCAAAATTGTTCATGGGATCCGCTGCATCGCCATGACCAGCAGATCCCTTGATGATACCAGCAGTCGCCAGTGAATACGGGGCTGATCCTGGCGCAATAGTAGCTGGTGTCAACTTGTTGTTGTCGTGTGCTGTCCGCGATGTGTTATTATTGCTATTATTGCTTGACATTTGTCCCCTTCCATTATTCTTAGCAGGTTTGTCGCTGACACGAACAATACCAGGCTTACTCTTTCCACTTCTCCCTCTGGATGCTTTTGCTTTGGCCTTCTCATCGTCACCAAACAAGACCTGATCGGTAGGCGAAGAAGATTTTACCTGGGTGACACCTGGCTTTGACTTTTTCTTCTTGTGTTTGTGCTTACTTCGTTTCTGACTGGAGGATCCTCCACCTGAGGATCTATATTTTGCCTTTTCGTCTTCTTTGCCAAACAGCAAGTCATCGACCTTACACTGCTGATGATTACTCATGGTATTGTCGATTGCCAGTTGTGTGGTGTCTCGTTAGATAGAATAGAACTATAGAGGTTCGGCACATACCAGTATAATATGCGGTACTTGGTAGGATCAAAAAAGAAAAAATTGATATGACCCACGGTCCGCGCGGTATTGCCTATCACTGGTTTGGCATCCGTTCGAAAACTAGACAGACAAATAGAGCCCTAATTAAAAATATATAAAATCATACCTATTAAAATGCGACACGCGATGGACTCGAGGGATTCCGAATTGACTCGTCTGCAGTTAAATATGTTCAAAACCGAAATGTTTTTTGAACAAATACTTCTAAATAGGCAATGTCCTAAAGAAAATTTCATACGGGCTCGTGGTAGAAACGATCTGGGTGGCTGCCGCAACTTCGGTAGACGTAAGTGCATGGTGAAAAGCAAAATAAAGCCATACATAGTGTCACCAAAGGCAATCTTCCACAGGCCGACTGCGCATCTATCCAGAGCTCAAGGGCCTTCAGCATTCGGTCCGCAAGCAAATTGTACCTCAGAAAGACGGTTCTTATCGTTAAAAGTCTTTCTGAAATCCTTAAACGCCAGTCCTGAATTTTTGCACAAAATCCTTCAGACATAAGGTCTTCTTATTGTCTTCTTACGGCCGCACCTCCACAATGGCCAAGGAAGATGTGGATGCCGTTACTTCCCCCAAGACTCCCATAAGTCGGAAATCAGCGCCTTCGTCGTCGGATGAAACTAAGGACCAAGCTGCACTTTCACCTGAGAGTCCACTTCAGGAAATGGAAGGTCAGGAAGCCCCAGATAGTAACGGTAAAAAGCCAAGCTCGTCCAAGAGTTCCAAATCTGGCAAATCATCGAAAACCAAGAAAGATAAATCAAAGAAGGAAAAAAAGGACAAGGCATCATCCAAAGATAAGGACCGATCATCAGGCGGTTCTTCTTCGAGAGATCGGACCAAAAGTCTAAAGGGTGAAGAGAAAGAGCCGGCTTCGCCTAAAGTGAAGCGAGAAGGTAGCCAACGCTCCTTAAAATCACCGCGTTCGAGTAGACGAAAAGGGAGATCAAAGAATGGAAAGAAGGGAGTATTTTTCAACAAATCTGTCTACGTGAATACTATTCCCAATTTGGAGACTTTCAAGAGGCAAGAAATTGATGCTGTCTGGTTTACTCCGGATGAGTATGCGTCAATGGAACAAGAATGTGATGAAACAGCAGCCATCTTGGATGCCAATCGACCATTGAGTGCAGCACTATGTCCGAGAGGTTTGGAAGCTTGGACCACTGACGGTGAACTGAATAAAGAAGCGAATGTGCAAGAGGCAATAGAAAGTGTTTGGCAGGCCCAGCTGGAACAATGGCAAATGGCACAAGATACTAATGAATGCTGGGAATTCATACGCGGAGAATATCTACCGACATCGGAGCGGTGTCATCAAGATGCCCATCACACAGCGTTGCGAGATGAGGAAGCCATTCAATCTTACCTCAACACCACACGACAAGTCTTTTCGCAATTTGCTCGCCGTGTATTAGGCAAGGCAGGTGGTTCCAAGAAAATCTCTCGGCGAACGACGAACGATGTGGCGCTCGTTACGCCAAAAGCGGCAAATCGAAGAACTCTAGGGGTCCGGCAAACCAGTTCAAGATCGGTATCAAGCAGCGCGAGATCCACATCCTCGTCACGTGATGCAAGTCTCAAGCTATCACAATTAGCTATTAATGGTACCCTGAAGTCTAGTCTCAAGACATCTACTGTCTTTATTCCGGACGATGGAACCATCGATGAGGATGGCAGTATCATTTCCCACTCTGAAAGATCCAGCGGCTCTCGTAGAATTACTAGGAGACCCGCACGATCATCCAATGCCACAACCACGACGGACAGTAGCGACATCAAAAGTGTTGGATCTCTTTCCTATGCTTCGACGATTGAATCCTCAGCTTCCGCTACCATCAATTCGGGAAATCGCAAGATTTCCTTCAAGGCCAAATCGAAAACCAAGATTCCTACTTCGCCTGTCGGAAGTGTTGCGGATGGCAGTACGATGGACGAATCCACTAATAGTCGTCGTATGCGATCGCACATGTCAGTTGCGAGTGATGACAGTACGAGACGGCGCATGAGAAAGGTGCTCTCCGCCAAGCCACTCTTATAATAACAAATAGACTAAATATATTATAATAATAAAATTACGCTGCTTGGCAAGAATCTTAAAAGGAATGTGATTTTGGTTGTTTCTCTATTAGAAGCAGAAGGATGGTATCCCTAACACCTTTCCACTTTAAATTTCATCTCATTTTACATTGGATTTGCGCCAAATGACCCAGCGAGACAGATGACTTTCTATGATCTGCTCTGATGACTTCACGTCTGGACGGACTCATTGGACTACTTTAATGGGTTCAATCGTTTTGGCCGAAGTTGTCGCGGTATTGGATGTAAAATTTTATACTCTGCGCTTGTTGGTCAGTAGGGCTTTTCATTTTATTCTATCTAGCCTAGTATTATCGTGAAGCTTCTAGGGATACATGCGAATGTTGCGATACAGTCACAGAAGCCATGGCCCTCAAAACAGTGAAAGAAGATCAGTTACTCCCAAATCTTGTCTCATTTCCTCTTCCGTATTGTCTTGAACGCCAGCTGCCTTAGCAGTTGGATCATCAACATCACAGCATTCCCCGGGAGTGGTACAGCGACCAGATACGACTCGAATCATACAGGTACAGCAGGTTGGGCAAGTACAGCTACCATTGCCAAAGTAGGATGTCTCCGTTTGTGCCTGGTATAGTGAGCCAACACTTAATACTGCACCACTGCAGGCATTGTTCCCTTGACAGGCATTGTCCGCGACGAACATTTTAGCACGCCCGGCACAGGCAAAGGTATCCTTGCAACTCTGTGATCTCACAGCGAGCTCGTGGGAGTAGCAACTGTATTCACCATTGCAAGACTGTCCACCAGCGGACAGTGTGCTGAGTGTAGATCCCCAGAAATCCCCCGTACAAGCATAGTTCGAGGTACAACTACCAGAACCTGCCTCGATTAGTCGCCCTTCGCAAGAGTAGAGCCCATGACAACTGTTATCTCCAATGGAAACCACCGTTGCGAAACCACAGGCACTATCGCCTTTGCAAGAACTGGCTCCAATCGTTGGAATCGAGTCGGGACTGGATTGCATATAAGCACAACTATAGGAACCGATACAGCTATCGCAGCCAATATCATGGTTTGCCACGGTCCCATCACAGGAAGGCGCGGATGGTACATCAATGCAGTAGCATTTTGCTGAAGGCGCCATACTTACGGAAGTCCATTCCGTGGGCGAACTTGTGGGTGACGATGTTGGATACCTGGTGGGAGATTGTGAAGTCACAAGGGACGGTGCCGAACTTGGATTTAAAGAAGGGTTTGCACTGGAGGCAGGGCTTGGAGCTTGAGACGGTGTATTTGATTCAATCGGAATCGACGGAGACAACGACCCAATCACTGGGGCCCCTGTTGGCGCGTTTGAAGGCATAGCACTGGGCAATTCACTAGCCCTGACTGTTGGTGGCGGACTTGGCGCAATCGATGGCTTTTTGGACGGTGAACTCGAGCCCAAAACTGTGGGTGAAACCGATGGCGGGGGCGTTGGCCCGACCACTGGCATTGATGTTGGCGACGAAGACGGTGATGCACTTGGGGTCTCAGATGGCATTATAGATGGAGCAGTACTAGGAACATCGGTTGGCATTGCAGAAGGAGATTGAATGGGAATCAAGCTATCGACACCGATGAGCTTTACTTCTGAGAACGGATCTGGTAAATCGAATGGGATCACCAAATTCGGTTCTTTTTCGGCTTGTTGTGATATCAGACTAGCGATCTCGAAAAATTGAGTCGGACCCTTCAAGTACATCGATACCTCCACAATCAGTCGATAACACCTTGATAGACCCTCATCTGCTGGATCTTCAGTTTCTTCGTCTTCACAGTCTCTCTCCGATTGCTCAATTTCGCTAACAAAGGCATTGAATATGACGTATTGCGGTGCCCCGTTTGCAAGTTGTCTATTCTGGTGGCTGCTGGAACCTCGCATCAAGCTGCGTCTTTCAGTGTCATTGACATTCTCCTCCTGCTCAACATTCTCTTCAACAACATCATCACAGCCAGCCAAAGCTGGAAGGAATATTTGTTGCAAGGCATCCAATAGTTCTTGGACCATTTCATCGGAAACCTCACCGTGCACGGATAGAGTCACATCCATCTTGATATTGATATCGCTTTGTGTCATGTTTTCTTGTCCAGCAATGGTTTGATTGTTTGCAATTGATTGACAGTTTTCTGGACTCGGTGCATCGTAGATTTGCAGCGGGGTTGGAGAACTTGTAGGAGGATTAGTGGTGTTGGCCGCCGTTGTTGGAGGAATGATGGTTGGTGAAAATTGACCCAGGAATGTAGATGGTGCCGGGGTATCATCCACGCTCCTCGCAACATCCTCACTGTTTTCGCGGAGTACAACAAATGCTACCACACCGCCAACAATCAAGAGAAAGCAGAACGCAAGAACCCCAATGATGATCCACAGTTTGCTCTTTCTACTTCCCTTGTTTTCTTGGACTGTCTCGCCCATAACAGCTGCTTCGGGTGCTTCGTCTCCAGAACCATCATTGGCCATAAGATCTCTTGTTTCGCTAGATGAGTCTTGCTCTTCTACCATGCCTCTTGTGCTACTTCTCTTGGACGACTTGGACTTTCCGTACAGGAGTTCCCGTGTGTCGCTGCCCTTTTCGTCCGAGTCATGTACCTCTTCTACCCCGGGTTGACTAACCTTTCGCCGCGAGGATTTGGCCTTGCCTTGGTCATCTCCATACAGCAGGTCCATTTTGCTCATCTTGTGGTGATCACTTCGTTCGATCCCCGGCCTACTACTTCTAGAGCTTCGATGACCGGACTTGGCCTTTTGCTTGGCGTCCTCATCCCTATCTCCATACAAAAGATCCACACTTTTGCTAGCATTGCTGGTGGCACTGTCCTTGCTTCGGATGGATCGATCTACGTGCCTCTTGCTGCTACTGCTGCTATGCTTGCTGATCCGTTCCATGCCGGGTTCCGAAGCTCTTGATGACCTAGAAGATTTGGCCTTAGCCTTGGCATCCTCACCACTGTCTCCTCCGTACAAAATCTCAACACTGTTGCTGGTATTGGTGGTGCCACTATCTTTGCTGCGGATGGACCGATCTATGGTATCATGGTGGCGTTTGCCATCTCCTCGCTTGGTGACCCGTTCTACACCTGGTTTGGAAGCTTTGGAAGAGGACGATGATTTGGACTTTTGTTTGGCGTCCTCATCACTGTCTCCTCCGTACAACATGTCTGCATAAGTTCCACTAGTGGATGTCTCCGTGAGGGTGGTATTGGTAGTAGCCGTAGCCTTGCTTAGAATGGAGCTTTGAATGGAGAAGTCTCCTGAAGAAACCCTTCTACTACTCTCGTTCCGCCTGGCACGGTCTCGGAACTCTTTGCTGGCCCCTTTGGGCGCCTTTCTGCTTCGTTTGATAACTTCTTCCTCATCATCGCTGCCATTCAAAGACATTTCTAGAGAGCGACTCCTGCTTCTGCTCATGCTGCTGCCCCTGCTGCCACTTCCACTTCTACTCCTGTGAGAACGATGCCGTCTGCTACCACTTGAATGCTTATCATTCTTCATGGGACTTCTCGAACCTCTCGAGGTCTTGGAGGACCTTCTGGAACTCTTGGAGCTACGAGAGTATTTGCTTCTACGACTAGCACTACTGCTGCTGTCTTTTTGAATGGAATCATCAGCCTCAGTAGGTTCTGTATGTCCAGTTTCATCCATTTTCAGGTCCACATAGGAAACTTTCGCTTCTCTGCCCCCAAGGACGTCACCTGAATGATGACGCTTCTCGTGGATGTCAGTTCCCATATTTAGGCAATCACTGTGTACCGGTACAGTAGTATCAAGAGTGCTTGTCCTGTGTATCGATATCACTGCGCTGTTGCTGAAGGATGTATCACAGGTCGCAGGTGAATGAACCAGTCGCAACCTGAAATTTTATCTCATCAGAAATATTTATCACGAACTCTCATATCACGAGACTCTTTTTGACAACCGCTTATTTAATAAAATATTTTATGTGTGGTCGTATTTGTGTGTTAAAGGACGCTCTATGGATGACTCTTCACTTAGAGGCAGGATTGAAAGCACAAATGGTTTCTGTTCCATCTAAGAAAAACGTCCCCCAATCTAATAAATACTCAACAACAGAACCCAAAGGAAAGTCCAGAAACTTCTCCACAATGCCAGGAATTTTGACTTTCGCGGCAGGCCCTGCGGATCTAGTTTAGTCCTAACCCATGAGACCAGTCCATCACAACTTGCCTACCGGTAGTGGCTTAGGACCGGTAGCAGAGCCTTACTTGTCGACTCACTGTACCGTGTGTCCGCCATCCTAATGCAAATTTCACCATCCATCGCAGCCATACTCTATGTGTATACCTGTAGTAGCCCTCTATGTTATTGAACACAAGTATTGATATGCAGTAGCTTGACTTGGCCGAGCAGTGAAATGCAGGACTTCACCACGATGTGCAAATAGAGCTTTGGCTTGTATAGTATCAGACGACATTTTCAAACTTTCTGAATGCATACATTATTGTAAGGCCGCAAATGAATGCGGTCTATTAGTTCCTACCTCATACTGACATCGAATCCTTCAGGTTGCTGGGAAATGAAGGATTCAGTATTATATCCAGGCACTGGTGTCCATTAGACGTCTGGCTTTGCAGTTCAATAATTGTATTTATGTCACGCGCTCTAAGTAGAAGTGATTCCGAAAGTTTCACGTGACATTTGCGTCCCGGCAAGATACTTTTATTATTTCTGTACGTGCGCGGGTACCTCGTACACTGGTACTGGTTTTCTGCCAAAACTTTCATAGACGCATGCAAGGACATGTATTATAATAGTAAGCAATACACTGTACCCAGCAACACCCAAAAAGTTTCATCCCTATACAGTACTCATCTGATACGGCCATATACTATACCCAAAGGTGCCTATCTATAGTAGAGCAATACGTACACGTACGCCATGAACAGCAACAATAACGACGAGGTGCTCTTTGGAGACGCTGATGAGAAAGCAAAGGCCAAGGCTTCCAGAGGCGGATCGTCCAAGGCTTCTTCACCTGGTGCTGTTTCTATGAGCGATAGTAAAGAAACGAGCAACAATAAAAGGAGCAGCCGAGGCTCCAAGAAACACAGAAGCAAAAGACACAAGGATAAACATTCCACTTCCAGTCGATCTTCCAGCGGCAAAAGTAAGAAAAGCAGAAGCGTGGATGAAACTTTGTACGGTAATGACGACGACGATGCCAAAGCAAAGGCCAAAGCTTCTGGAGGAAGATCAAGAGCGGCCAAACCAGGTATCGAACGGGTGGAAGAATCAGCAGTACCCAAGCGTGGAGACAAAGGATATGTCGCGGATCCTTTGTTCCGAGGAGAGAATCAAAACAAAAGTCCCAATCATGCAGCAGTGGTCCAGAACAGTAGTAATAGCGCTACTGCTGCCGGAATCGTGGTGGATGAGAATGGTGTGCCCAAGGTAAAAGACAATCCCAAAGATATGGACGCCCTGGCCATGGGCGGCAATTTTGTAGAAACTGACCCAGACGAAAGCAAGGATAGCGAGAGGAGAAATTCCAACAAAAAGTGGTTCATCTTGGTTGCCGTCATTCTGCTAGTACTTGTGGTTGCTGGTGTGGGAGCCTACTTTGCGCTCACAGGTGGCAACGACGAACAAGAACAAGTAGCACAAGAGAGGACATCGGCTGTACCGTCATCAGCACCTATTGTCCCGTTGAATGCCGCCCCAACCATTTCGCCTAGTTGGCAAATCAACGACAATTGGCCTAGCAAATCCGATTGTGATGCCATTGCAACAAACGGAACCATTGTCGGTGACGTCAATAGTGAGACTGTTGATACATTTCGTATCTCTTTCGAGGTTAAAATGTCAATGAATGTGGCAATGTCAGACTACTCGGCAACGGAATTGGCCATGGCTATTCAAAAATGGATACTTCCTGCTCTTATTGGATGCGACGTCAACACCACTACGCGCCGAGAACTGTCTGAAGTGGCACGCACTGGAATCAGAGGCTCCACCGAAAACCGGAAACTCGAGAGTGAAGAATGGCAGCTCGCTATCTCCAATGCCTTTGTCAAAGGCAAGCGTATGCCGAACCAGTCCTGTAGAGAAAATGTTTCAAGTTGTCAAATCGTCGAAATGGAGCTATACTTGTTCCTTAAGGACGTAATCGGAGATCTGAGCGCTCGAGTTCGACAGGAATTTGAAAGCGGCACCCCTTTGATAGACGTGTTGCACTTGGACGATCCCTTCGTTTCAGTGGAACTCGTCGATTTGTCTGTTTTGGAGTTTGCGGATGCACCTACTGAATCGCCAAGCAAGAGTCCTGTAATACCAGTGAATCAATCTCCAACCGCTGCTCCGGCTTCAGGATCCACTCCTCCACCGGTAGCGGATCCTACGTTATCCCCAATCACCTCACCGGATGCAAACCCAACGGAAGCACCCGTTCAAGAGCCAACCGAGACACCAGTTCCAGAGCCAACAGAGGCACCCGTTGCCACACCAACGGAGACACCAGTTGTGCCACCTACCGAAGCACCCGTCGTGGTGCCCAACGAGGTGCCGGTTTCATCTCCCACGTCGGCACCGACTAAGGAACCATCCCCGCTACCGACACCAGGGCCAACACCCATACCAACCCCATCTCCCACCAAGGCACCGACTAAACCTCCAACACAAGCACCAACAAAGCCGCCGACAAAAGTGCCTACAAATACTCCTACTCCAGCACCCACTCCAGCACCCACTCCAGCACCCACTAATGCGCCTACTCCACCACCCACTCCACTACCAACAAGAGTTGGTCTTACAGATAACATCCCCATTGGAGGGGACAACGGCGGTTTACCCGGTCTTGGTCCCGGTCCAGGGGGGCAAGGTGGCCAAGGTGGTCAGGGTGGTAGTCGTATCCCGGGCGGGGGGCTCCGGTAGAAATCCGATGGCTGCAACTGGAGTCTATGTTCAGTATGTCTAATTCATATGATATGTGTTTTCAAAATAGTTCATTTTTATTTTAATCTTCATCGATACCAACCTACCTTTTGCTATGCAGTACCAGGTACTGGGGGGAGGCGGACAATGGTCAGATCATGGAGCTATTCTGATTCGTTTGCTTTGAAAACGATATTCGATGACTCAACGTAATGTATCGAGTGATAGAAAGATGGAGTCTTTCCAGTTTGAAAAGCTCTCTATAACTGTAAATCTTATTCATGTCAAAGTGACTTCTGATCGATGATGCTAAGGGAAAGTGACTCCTGAAAGTCTTTTCCAAGCTTTTTCGCAGTCCAAACTTTACTTCGTAGAAAACGCTTTCATTGTTCATTTCACTGGATATTTGGGATGCTTTATTACGTGGAAATAGCGTTTGGCTTCTGCTCGAAAGTGCTAATTAACGTGATTGATGATTCATTGAGTTTCTTGTGATATTCTTTTCATTGTAAAAAACGTGCTTGTGACTCATTTTTTTCTCTTTGATACTTCTGATCAACTGCCCACATTTTTGTATCCCTCACAAATTTCATCCCACACGGTTACGATCACTCAGAAAAAAACACAGGAAAGCATTACACCATGAGCAGCAACAACGATGAGGTATTTTATGGAGCTGAAAAAAAAGCCAAGCACAAGACTCCCAGGGGGTCTGATGTGACTTCTAGACCTAGTGCTGTTTCACAGAGCGACAGGAGTAGCAACCGCCGTGATAAGGAACAAAAGAGACACAGTCGAAGTTCAAAGGGAGGTAAAAGCGGTCATCGTAGCAAGAGGAAAAATGAGCATTCCAGCCACCGAACTTCCACAAGCAGAAGCAAGAGCAGCAGAAGCACTGCTGGGGGCTTCAGCGAGAGTGACAGAAGTGCAGCATCCACCTTATACGGCAGTGACGAGGATGCCAAGGCGAAAGCTAAGGCGTCTCGTGGAACTCCAAGAGCTACCAGGCCTGGTGTGGATCAGGTTGTTGGCAGCATCAGCGAAAGCGAGAGAACTACATCATCAATCTTATATGGCAGTGATGAGGATGCCAAGGGTAAGGCCGCGTATCGTGGAACTCCAAGAGCTACCAAGCCTGGTGTGAATCGTGTGGAAGGAACCATCAGCGAGAGTGAGAGAACAACATCATCACTCCTTTACGGCAGTGATGAGGATGTCAAGGCAAAGGCCAAAGCTTCTCGAGGAAGCTCAAGAGCTACCAGGCCTGGTGTGAATCGTGTCGACGGAAGCAGCATTAGTGAAAGTGAAAGGACCACATCATCAATCTTGTACGGTAGTGATGAGGATGCCAAGGCAAAGGCCAAAGCTTCTCGAGGAAGCTCAAGAGCTAGCAAACCTGGCGTGGATCACGATAGTGACAGATGTACTGAAATCTTGTACGGTAATGACGAGCATGCAAAGGCAAAGGCCAAGGCTTCTCGGGGAAGCTCAAGCGCGACAAGGCCAGGTATTCAACGACTTGAAGAGAGCGAAAGAAGTATTGAAATCTTGTACGGCGATGACGAGGATGCCAAGACAAAGGGCAAGTCTTCTCGAGGCATCTCAAGGTCGGGAACTCCTGGTGTTCAACGTGTTGGAGACGAAAGGAGCCTCAATGTTCTTCCCGAGGCTTCCTGGTTAGATTCCGCACGCAATGTCCATAAAAGCGGTATTACTGGCGTCTTGGTGGACGAGAATGGTGTGCCCCAGGAGCAGTCCAGTACCGAATTTTCGGACGCTACTCCTACGGAAGACCACAAGCACAAAGCTGAGAAACAGCCAAATTCCAACACAAAATGGTTCGTTTTGCTTGCAGTAATTTTTCTACTTGTGGGAGGTGGTACCACGGTTGCCTTTTTCGCTCTCACGGGTGGGCAGATCAATGATGACACCAGCGTGAAAGCAGTGACAACAGCAGATGAAACAACAGCGGCACCATCAACATCATCATCTGTGTCTCCTTCGAATACCCCCCCGACAAGCCCGCCTACTTTGGAAATCATCTACGATCCACCAAGCGAATCTGTCTGCAATGCAATAGCAAGAAATGAAACCACTGTGGGAGGTCACAATGGCGAACCAGTCATTGACGATGGCTTTCGTATGAACATTGAGGTTACCATGTCAGGTGATGCTACCATGTCCGATGAATCGGTGGAGGAAATGCTCAATGCTATCCAGGAGCTGCTCCTTCCTGCTCTTATGGGATGCAACAACAATAGCACTCGCCGAACACTATCTGAGGCTTCACCAACTGGAATCCGTGGCTCAATCAAGTATCGACAACTTCTTGAAGCTGCGGAATGGCGTTATTCTGTCTCCAACGCCTTTGTCAAAGGCGATCTGAAGCCGGAGATGGCCTGTTTGGAAAGTGATCCAAATTGTTACGTTGTCGAGGTGGAGCTGCATCTGTCTTTGAAGAGACCAATCAATGGTCTGAGCGATGGAGTTCGCCTGGATTTCGAAAATCCTCTGTTGGACATTTTGCAATTGGATGACTCCTTCTTTGAAGTACAGATGACCACTTTCTCTAGTTTGGATACACCCACTGGATCACCAAGCACGAGTCCTGCGACGCCCATGGAACCATCTCCTATTGGTGCACCAGTATCGGGTTCCACTTCTGCACCAAGCTCACCTGTTACATATCCTACTTTACCCCCAACCACCTCATCCGAAGCAGATCCAACCGAAGCTCCAGTTCCAGAGCCATCCACGACTCCCATTGTAGATCAAAGTGAAATACCAGTTACAGCCCCCACTGAGAGACCAGTTGCCAACCCAATTGAAGCTCCGGTTGAAAATCCGACACTGGCACCAGTTACACCACTAATAGCTCCAACACTGGCACCAGTTGCAAATCCAACACTGTCACCAGTTGCCGACCCAACCGAGGCACCACTTCAAAATCCAACAGAGGCACCAGTTAATTATCCAACAGAGGCACCAAGTGCAAATCCATCTGGTGCAATAGTTGGAAATCCAACAGAGGCACCAGTTGCAAATCCAATCGAGGCGCCAGTGCCGTCCCCTACTGATTCGCCGGTTCCAGCCACTACCAATGCACCTTCGGCGGAACAAACCCCCGTCCCGTCTCCATTTCCGACACCAGGTCCAACACCACTACCAACTCCGTCTCCCACGGATGCACCGACACCACTACCAACACCTTTGCCAACTCCGTCTCCCACCAAAGCACCGACACCACTACCTACTCCGTTCCCTACCAAAGCACCGACACCGCTACCTACTTCGTCTCCAACTAGAGCACCTACTCAGGTACCTACCAAGGCTCCTACAAAATCGCCCACAGCAATGCCCACCGTGACGGCACCTACTCTTCCCCTTCTCCCTACCGTTGGAGATCTTTTGGGCCTATAGGAATTGGCGGATGCAAAACATCAGTTTATTAGCTTATATTTATTATACATATTTTTTACTGGTGTTTCTTGATTGCTAGTCTTCGTGGATACCGACTGCCATGTAGGCTGTAGGATCATCGTCTACTTTTGTCTCTCTGCTCGAAGCTGGTAGTATTTAAGAAGAGAAGGACGGATGGAAGAGATGAGTGCGTCATTCAATCTAAAAGGCGAATAAACGACCCTCCTTCACCGAATCAAAATAACGATTGTTTCCTGCTCCTAAGTAGACGCGAGCATGTGCGTCATTCAACGACAAGCGAAAACGGATGATTAGCAGATCCAAATTGAAAACATTACTTAGTGAAAAGTGTCAAAAATGGCAGATGTTACAACTGGCATTTTCAAAAGTTCGCGTGCCTTTTATTGAAGGATTTTAAGTTCTGTGAATAATATATGATCCGAAATATAATCCGGCAGCAGCACAATAATACCGGTATACAAGCAGTAGGTCTGATTGTGTGCGACATTCTAGCATCCATTCCAGACGTCAGCAGCAATGAGTAGTAACGACGCTGTCCTCTTTGGAAGCGACGAAAAGGCAAAAGCCAAGAGCCGATCTGGATCCAAAGCGTCAAACCCTGGCGTTGTCGCTGTCAGCGAAAATGCCGACGAAGTCCTCTTTGGTAAAGAAAAGGAGAAGAGCAAAAAGTACGACCGTTCTTCTTCCAAAAGCTCCAGTCGAGGCTCAAAGAAGAGCAAGAGCGGAAGTAGCAGCAGAAGTAGGCGAAACAAGAGCAAGGGTAGCAGAGGCAGCAAACATGATGAGGTGCTGTTTGGCAACGACAAGGATGCCAAAGCCAAGGCGAAAGCTTCTCGAGGTTCCGGTGCCAGTAAACCAGGTGTAGAGCGCGTAGGTGACTCTGGGAAGGCCAGAGCTGGAGACAAAGGATTTGTAGCAGATCCAGTATTCCAAGGTGCAGACAGCAAGACTAAGCATTCCTACAGCAAGCCTGCACCCGTGCACACAAGTGCAATGTTGATCAACGACAAGGTCATAGATCCATTTGCAGCTACAATGGATCCGTCAGAGGATGGGTCGAGCGCAGAAGATAAGAAAACAAATCGAAGAAATTCAAACAAAAAATGTATCATTTTGGTTGTCATCCTCATGTTGATTGCAGGTGGAGTGGGTGCATTCTTTGCCCTCAGCGGAGGCAAAGATAGTGAAACCCCAGAGACCGCCGCGACAAACATACCAGTATCCCCTGGCAGTGCCACAACTGCCCCTGTTGCTGGAACAGGCCCCCCAACCGGTGCTCCTACGACGACAGTGACATTAGACAATGATGATTCGCCTAGTGACCAAGTTTGCGAGGCAATTGAGAACAATAATAGGACTATTACTGGACCAGCGACAGCGGTCACAATGAACCTTGCCCTAACATTCGATGTCTCGGCGCAGAGCGGGTTGACTGATAGTATGGTCGAAGATTTGATTGGTGCGATCCAGGAGTATTTCCTTCCAGCGTTGGCCGGTTGCGACAGCATCAATCGACAGCTTGTTATTCGAGGTGGAAATCGTGCCCTTCAAGGAGGAAATCGCGACCCATCTCGCCGTAACATTATCAACGCATTCGTCAACCCGATCGCATGGGACGAACCTTGCGAAAACGAGAGCGGGGGAAACTGTCAACAATTTGTAGCGAAGCTATCGGTTATCCTTCGTGAAGAGGTTTTCTATTTTGAGCTAACCAAGATGCTTTCTGATCCTTTTCCGATGGGTGAATTGAAGTCCTTGTTGAAACTTGGGCAACCGTTCATATCAATCATGGCTCGTAGCTTGGTCGTCACCACAGAACCTCCAGTTTCGGCGCCAGTGGAGGCTCCAGTTGTGATGCCAAACGCGAGTCCAATCGAACCAACGGATGCTCCGGTCGATGCCTCCGTACCCAGCCCCCCTGCTGGTGGTTCCAGCCCCACGACTTCCCCATCAACGGATGTTCCAGTGGATGGTTCTGATCCTACGACTGCACCCATTGATGGACCTGTGCCGACACCGACAACAATTCCGATGCCCCTTCCAACTCTTGCACCAGTATCGCAACCAACAGGCGCTCCAAGTCGTGGACCAACTAAGGCACCAGTTGTTGGTCCTAGCCCCCCACCAACCCCTGTTCCAACTCCACGCCCAACACCGGTGCCAACACCAGCTCCAACTCCTGTTCCAACTCCAGGACCGACACCAGGACCGACACCAGGACCGACACCAGGACCAACACCAGGACCAACACCATCACCTACTCCAGGACCAACACCTCCGCCTACGAATCCTCCTACAAATCCACCAACTAAAACACCAACACCGCCACCTACTCTGGCGACTCCTCAACCTACTCGCGCACCTCCTCCTACTCGCGAACCAACTTGTTATTGCCAAAGCAACGTTATCAGACCTGCTTGCGACAACACCCTGTTCCGAGTTAATATTGGTAAGTCAGCCAGTCAGCCAGACAGTCGAATATAGTAAAAACAAGAGCAATCGACCGATGCTGTATGATTGATCTCATGCAAAGATATGCCTCTAACTTGCTGTTCTTCATGTTTTCTAATTTTGTTGTTGCCGTTCTTGTCCCTATCGTAGACGGATCCTGTGGCGCCTGTATTGGACCGAAGGCTTGTACGGAACTGGCAGGACCTGCTGGGGGTGAGATTCATGAAAAGGCATGTGTCGGAATCCAATCCTGCTACAAGGCATCCGTGGATTACGTCGCGTCCAATTCTTGCCGTGGAGCCAATGCCTGCATGTCTCGGCGCATTGATGTGGGCGAAAACAGTTGCATAGGTGACAACGCGTGTGGTAAACGGGCCCGGATCTATATTGGCAACGAGTCTTGTTTAGGGACGAATTCTTGCGCTCAGCCACTCCTACAAAACCCAGAACCTTTGTCTTACTTTCTCCATGGGAGTTGCCAGTGTGAAAAATGCTGTCTTTGTATGAACCGTGTAAAATCTGGGCGATGTAATACTCTTGGTGAATGTTGTCAACGTGACAATCCAAGGCTAAAGGTGGACGGAGTCAAGGACGATACTGAATTAGCTGCCGATGCTGATATGGAGACAATAGAAGCTGTTGATGAAAAAATAGACGCTGTTGACGACACAGAAAAAGTCGGTAACGAAATTCTTGAAAATGTTGACGGATATTGGCAGCGATAATGCCTACCGGTATGATTCATTCTGATGGGAGTGATAGATTCAGAAATTAGTGGCACCAATCCTTGTTGCAATGCATATGGTAACATGAAATTTAAATGTTTTCCATAGGTACATGCATGCATACATACATTTTTATCTACGGTATAAATTAACACTCTTTATCCCAGACTTTCAGTATCTACCGTATAAAAAAATAAGTTTGTGAGGTATTCGCTATTGGCGCCTGTATCGGAAATGTGCTTGCTTTCTTTTTTGTTTAAAGGACCGAGACCGACGTATGGCTCCCTCCTCTGACCAGAAACCGGACATTCTCAGTTTCTGAGAAGTTTTACATAACGTTTTGTATCGTGGTGTCCTGTCATGAATTTAGCAGGACAGCCAGTGAGCTCTTTACATTTATTGTGCAAGTCTTGCTCCTTACTTAATATTGGTATTTTTCACGACCATGCGATTTTGGACCGTCAACTTTTCTTTCGCTCCGCAAGGGCTTTTTGCCGTGTATCAGCACACACGACTAACAAGACAACATTAAATACCGCGTTAAGGTCGTGGTAACAATCCTTTTACTAAGGTAATGTACGCATCTTCTGTGGGATACGTCACTTTTGACCTTCAACCTTCTACCGAAAATCTAAAGAGTACCACCACAAGTGGAAAGACCACGACTATAAACCTATTCATCTGTTATCTACACTGCATACTGGAATCACACAACCCAAATCCCAGTAACAGACAATATGAGCATCAGTCCTCTAGGTTCCAAAGCCTCCATAGCTGAAGCGGTAGCCATCACTGATGATACGGAGAATGAGGACAACGATGATTTGCTAATCAGGAGTGAGCAATCGAGAATCAGCGAGACTTCTGAAAGTAGAAGGAGGAGTGGCCGCAGCAGATCGGGATCCAAGGGTCGCAAGAGCTCGCATAAGAGAAGCAGCGGAAGCAGTCATCACCCTAGACGGCGCACCAAGCAGTCACACTCTCCCATGCGATCTTCCTCACGCAGCGGAGGGAGTTGTAGCAGCGGTGATCAAATGCTGTTTACTGATTCAGATGAAGAGGAATATTATGCGAAAGAAAGCATTAGCAGGTCTTCTCGAACGTCTCCCAAGCCAGACAAGAGAGGTGCCAGCATTAAGAGCTTTTACGACGATGACGATGATGCTAAGCCTAGAGCAAAGGGCTTGAGGCATCATTCAGAACATTCACCGAAACGTTCTCCTAAACATTCTCCTAATCCGAGCAAGGGTAGCATCAGTTCGAGACATTCGGAGCATTCTCCTAAACGGACCAGTTCGAGGCATTCAGAACATTCTCCGAAACGTTCCAGTTCGAGACATTCGGGGCACTCTCCTAAACGGTCTCCTAAGAAGGACTCTTCTACTCGGAGCAAGGGTCTTACTGCCAGTTCAAGACACAGTACTGAAGATTCAACGGCCACGCAAAAGGCAATTGACGAAGCCAACAGGAGACACAGTTCGGATCTTGTCTTGACATCTTGGCACAGTCGAAGCAGTAGGAGTAATTCCAGTTCGAACAACAGCACTGAATCACCAAATGGGGAGCCAAAAGCTAGCGGTGCCTCTCGAGGTTCCAAAACAAGCAGGTCCTCCAAACATAATCAGAGTTCGAAACGGTCCCTCCGATCCAATGGTATGGAATTCGCCAGTCCATCGGGACAAAGCCGAAAGAGTGCTGGCTCTGCTAAAAGTGCTGACATTTTATACGGAGATGAAGATGCCAAGGCCAAAGGTAGAGGATCAGGATCAGGAGGATCAAAACCCAGGTCCCTCACCCCTGGTATCGAATTCCTTAGTCCCTCTGGACAAAGTCGAAAGAGTGCTAGCACATCTAGAAGTGCCGGCACTTCCAAGAGTGCGGATCTGCTTTACGGAGATGACGATGTCAAGGCCAAAGCCAAAGCGTCACGAAATTCCAGCCGAAGTAGATCTCCCAAACCTGGTTTCGAGCTCATGAGCCCATCTGGACACCGCAGCAGCGGCAAGGCTTCCAAGAGTTCCCGGAACATTGCCCTATTGTACGGGGAAGAGGATGATGATGCCAAGGCCAAATCCAAGGCATCCCGGAGCTCGAAACAATCCCTCAAGCCTGGTATGGAGATTGTCCCTAATACAATTGGAACAAGCATGAGTACCATAAGCACTGCTCCAACCTCACAAATTTTGTATGGAATGAGTAGTGAGCATAGCGATTCCATCAGTGCTGCCCATAGCAAGGAATCTAACGGCACCAAGAGTACGGTCGAGATCTTGTACGGAGGAGAGGATGCCGATGCCAAGATCAAGGCAAGGCGATCCCGAGGCTCTGGTAGACCCTCCCACCACAATCCTGGGGTGGAACGCGTGACCGAAACCGAATCCTCCTCTGGCCATTCCACGAGGAGTACGACTCCACCTGTGGATGGACCAGTGGTTACAGGCATGATGATCAACGATAACTCTGCTTCGTTCAGGACGGCACCCAAGAACAACTCTGTTGTTGTCAATAATGCAACTGTGCCGTCGAATAAGAAGAAAAGGTCGAAAAGGAGAAATCGATTTTCCTTTATCAAGTGGACCCTTTTGGCGTGTATCGTCCTTGTGCTTGTGGTCGGTGGTGGAATTATAGCCTATCTTGCTCTCCGAAATGGAGATGAGGATGCTGTTCAAGGTGCAGAAGCTCAAGATGTCGATTCCCAAGATCCCAACGCCAACACACCTGAAGCACCAGCCGGTGCCCCAAGTGGTATCATTACTCCCACAGCGCCACCAACAAACAAAAAGACTCTGGATCCACCAAGCGCGGAAGACTGTGCCGCCATTATGAAAAACCAGACCATTGCAGGAGGAGGAAACAACCCGGCCAACTGGAAGGCCAACATTCAGATCAATGTAAAGGGCGAAACTGGCATGACCGATGAAATGGTCCAAGAGTTATTGAATTCTATCCAAGAACTTTTGCTTCCGTCCATGGCTGGTTGCACTAGCAGCAGTGATGAGCGAAAGTTGATTCGAACAGGAGCATCATTCTCATCTCGACAACTACAAGTGGTCATTGATGATTCTTCTCGATTTGCAATTCTATATGCCTTTGTCAAAGGTGAAGTCCAACAAGATGCAGTTTGCGTGGACACGGCGACTCCCGAGTTGTGCTACATTGTCCTTGTGGAGTTCTTCATATACTTGGATGCTGATATTAGTTCGGATGAACTTGGGGATATCCTAATGGAGGAATTGGAAGACGGCAACGACATTGTATCCAAATTGAACCTCGGTGACTGGTTCCTTTCGGCGAATGTTACAAACATCACTGATGTGACACAAGCTGCTGATGCTTCATCTATGTCTCCAACGGATGCTTTCGCTGGGTCAAGATCGCCAAGCAAGAGTCCAACAATGTCTCCTACAGTTCTATCACCAACCAAAGTTCCTGATAGTCCTACGGCGGTGCCTGTGTTGGAACCAACAGGCACACCCACAGACATTCCTGCAGAAGGAACTACGTCGACTCCCCTTCAAACTCCTTCCGCAATGCCAACGGACGTTACAAGTTCCTCGCCTTCTACAATGCCATCGGAGTCGCCATCCGAGACTCCGAGCTCGTCACCATCTTCATCTCCAACATCCATGCCTGTGGTCGGACCATCGCCTCCACCAACAGCATTGCCGACAGCTTTCCCTTCGGAAGCACCATCCACAAAGCCATCGATAGCGGCAAGTTCCTTCCCAACCATCAGCGCCAGTGCGTTACCCAGTGCGGCACCCACTGTGGTTGGTTCCTCGGCTCCTTCGACTCCACGTCCATCCAGTGCACCTTCGGTAGCACCTGTTAGTTCAAGCCCATCGTTCAATCCTACAATCCCGGCACCATCGGATCCTCCTTCACAGACTATCACTCACTTTCCGTCATTTGCACCAAGCCTGGCGCCTACTGCGATATGCTATTGCATGGATGAAACAGCGGACTCTGCGCCTTCCTGTGACGGAACCGTGGCAAACCATGAGATTGGCTGCGAGAGCTGTATCGGTGCCTATAGTTGCTCCATGATGCAATCCAATCCCAACTCGAATCCAACGATTGGCATCAGTTCTTGCCAAGGAGAAAGCGCCTGTGGCTGGGCAACGGTGATTTCCATTGGAGATAACAGTTGTCACGGGCTCTACACTTGCGAAGGGCGACTAATCGAGGCAGGTTCTGGTAGCTGTACCTCGAACTATGCTTGTACGGCGGATTTCTGGGGATCTACAGTGAGCACACTGTCCGCTGGTGGACAGTCTTGCAATGGTGAATACAGTTGCTACTCCCACGAGCTCGTTGCGAGATCACAGAGTTGCAAGGATACCTATGCCTGTGCCGGGCGCGCAAAAATGTTTGTTGCGGACAATGCCTGTCAAGGGAACAATGCCTGCAGTGGTGCAGTATTCAGTAGAGGCTCACTATACCAGGCACAAACGGAGACATCCTACTTTGGCAACGGTAGCTGTACTTGCCCAACCTGCTGTACCTGTATGATTCGAGTCGTATCTGGTCGCTGTACCACTCTCGGCGAGTGCTGTGATATTGATGATCCAACTTTGAAGGCAGCTGGAGTCCAAGATAATACAGAAGAGGAAATGAAAAAAGATCTTGGAGTACTTTATCTTTCTTCACTGTTTGCGTAACTAAACTGAACCTACTTTTGGGCAATCAGCCCAGTAAATGAAATATTTCTTCTCGCTATTATAATCAGACAAACATATTTCTACCTGCATTTTTGACAAAACTGTATTTTTGGGCCGACCTGAAACTATTGCAGTGTACCTACTCGGAGAACGTCGATGGGGTCATTAGCTTTTTTTTATCGGATCGTTCTTTTCCCCACACTTGCCAAAATTCAAAATTCACCGTTTGTTTCGCAGTCGTTAAATACAAGTGATTACAAACTCACACCTCAAATTGCCAATTAATAAAATAAACTGCCACCCAAGAAGTATTACTTAAAGGAATGCGCAGATCGAAAAACACCACATCGTTTGTACACGAGCGCATCAACTACGGAAAAGTGTATCGCATTCCCACAAAACCACGACATCACACACACATTACTGTTGTGACTGATTGTCAGTCATTTGTTTCGCGTCTCACAAAAACAACATCCGACGCAGACTAACTCGTTTCAAGTGCTTCGTTTTATTCAAACAAAGACAAAATGAGCAGCAACAATAACGACGAAGTCCTCTTTGGAGACGCTGATGAGAAGGCCAAGGCCAAGGCTTCTATGGGAACCAATAAGGCTTCGGCACCTGGTGTGGTAGCTGTCAATGATGACGACAACGACCGTTCCAGCAGAAGCGGGGACAGCAGTAGGCGGGACAAGCGTAAGAGCAAGCATCACTCTAGCAGCCGAAGCGACCGCAATATCTCTAGCAGCGGCAGGAGTTCCAAGTCTCCCAACCGAAGCAGCACCAGCAGAAGAACCACCAGTTCCAAGAGTCCCCATAGATCTTCTTCCAATAAGCGAGATCATCGTGACCACCATCATCGTGACCACAAATCATCCAAGAGTAGATCCAACGGCGAACGAAGCAGCAGCAAGCATCATTCCAGTGATGGTGGTGGTGGTGGTTCGCGTTCCAGCAAGCGCCACAGCAGCAGTAGCAGGTCGCCCCCTAGAAGTGACAAGAACGATCATGCTGCTAATACTGCTAATACTACTACGATTCCAGAAGTAGATGTACCCAGCAAGAACGACAAACTGCTCTTTGGTACGGATCAAGATGTCAAGGCAAAAGCAGCTGGTGGTGGTGGTGGAAAAGCTACTGCGCCAGGTGTGCAACGGATTGAGGAATCGGCCAAACCTACTCAACCTGGCGACAAGGGATACGTCGAAGATCCTGTCTTTGCTGGCAATAATAACAATATTAATAATAGAAAAGCCACCACCAAGAGCAGCAAACGCAACATGACACCTTCGGGCATTGCGGTTGCAAAAGATGGCGTCGTTACAGTCGACACGAAGAAGGATGCGAATGATATGGATGCCTTGGCGGTTCCAAACGATCCTCTCGAAAATGACGACCAAGACCAAGAAGAAGAAAAGGCAAAGTCTAGACAGGACAAGAAAAAGGAAGAAGAGAAAAAGAAAAAGAAGAACAGGTGCATTCTGATTCTCATCTTTGTCTTGTTGCTTCTCATTGCCGCGGGAGTTGGTGTTTTCTTTGGACTCCGCAGCGGTGACGACGACGACAATATCACTGGCACTCAAAGTGCCGTGGATCCCACCGTGGCACCTGTCGTTCCAACCCAACCACCTTCTGTCGCTCCCTCCAATTCCCCGACAGAAATACAATACGATCCTCCTAGTGAGGAAGATTGCCTTGCCATTTCGAGAAACGAAACCATTGCGAGACAACAAGGCCTGGAAGAGGTTGACTTTGGCATTGGCTTTGATGTCACTCTGTCGGTAGCAGGTAATATTACCGGCCCCACAATCAAAACACTTTTGGATGCGATTCAAGAGAAACTCCTTCCACCCTTGGTGGGTTGCGATAATGATGATGATATCAGTCGCCGACGCAACTTGATTCGAGGAGGGGTCTCTAGGAGGAGGCAGCAAGAAGTCAATAATAACGATCTTGACAACATTCGATATGCAATTCTAAATGCCTTTGTCAATGGTAAAGAAAAACCTGATGTTGCCTGCCAGAACTCGCCGTCTCCTGAAAATTGTCACCGGGTCATGGTGGATTTGACAGCTATACTGAAGGGACCTGTCAGGAAACTCGATATTATCCGTTTGATCTCTGAAGAATGGAAGAAGGGAAATAATTTGGTGGCTCCTTTGGATCTCGGAGTCCCATTTTTGGAAGTGATCATGTATAACGTCGTGGAAGTGGAACCCACCAATGCTCCAAGCTTCATGCCCACGGATCGTCCAAGTCTTTCACCATCGGGGACTCCCTCGGAGATGCCATCGGCAAGGCCATCAAATGTTCCAACCTTTGTGCCCTTTCCGGGATCCACACCACGTCCAACTCCATCACCCACACCACCACCGACGGGTGTCCCATCAACTGCCCCAACCAGAAGACTTACTGCTGCTCCGTCCACTCCTGCTCCAACACTAGCCCCAATAGTTGGACCAACACTTCCACCCACTCCGGGACCAACGCTGCCGCCAACCCCTGTACCGACATTGGTATCCGGTCCAACCAATGCTCCTGTTGCGGGATCGACATTGGCACCAACAACAACTCCAGTGGTTGAATCGACGCCAGCACCAACTTTGGCCCCAGTGGTTGAATCGACGCCGGCTCCTGTATCCGACCCAACCACTGCTCCAGCTGGAGTAACTACACCCGGACCAACACTCACACCAGCGCCAACACCGGCACCAACTTTGGCTCCAGTGGTTGGACCAACCCCTCCTCCGACGGCGGCGCCGACATCTCCACCAACGCTGTCGCCCTCCAAATCACCAACGGTTGCACCGAGTGCACCTCCAACAGTCACACCAAGTCTGGTACCATCTTCCAGTCCGTCCAAACAGCCAAGCAAGAAACCAACCCCCAGTCCAACAACAGCAAGACCAACGAAAAATCCAACTCCCACACCAACAACAGCAAGACCAACCGGGATTCCATCTGCCAGTCCAACAATATCACCTGCCCCTACAGAACGACCTGCAATTATTTGTATCGGTCTTGTGTGCGTCTAACATCCCAACGTCTACGGCTACAGAACCTACCGACTGCTGTGCTACTACCCAATCCATTCAATCTTCCTCTTTGCGGGCGCGGCTAATACACTCCAACATCTTCATATTTGAAGGCGTTGTTGCGAATTCATCAATGCTGAAGAGGCAAGGAATAATCCTGGCGATTGCTCGTTGCAGTAAAACTTCCAGCATTGTTTCGACCAACAGAACAAATAAAATTCAACATTCGGTACACATTTCATATTGACAAACTTGTATATATGTTTCATAGACCATACTTCAATTTCAGCATTATTTTATTCATTCACTCTACCGAGTAGCCAAGTCTGAAAAGGTTATCAAAGTTTATAGTGTTCAGATACTATAGTGTACGGTTCCTCATCTGACGCACTCGATGAAAGTAATCCGTCCGTCATCACAAGAGACCGTGGATATATACACAAGTGCCACAACAAGACACCAAATGATATGGGGCATCGATATTCAAACAAGTTCAGTTGTGATTCGTCCACAAGAATGAGTATGGGCTTTTCTGTCTTCTTCTACCCTCGAATATGGTGGCAATCGAAATCGCCATCCTAAAATCAAATTGCCAAACTTTCAATGACGCAACCCAGCAACGGACTCTCATTCAATCCACCAATCTCCGCCTTTCTACCTACGGTATACCGAGCCGCATCCATCTATTCATTACAGGAGCAAAAGTCCGCAACTAAAAATCATCAAACTTCGACTCAAGAAAGATGAACTGGTAGTATCCAACATTATCAAAAAGACATGCGCGTGTTTTCGTCTCGTTTCATGACCCGTCGCATGATGCTTCATCAACCCTAACGTTGTTGCTTCCAAGATGATTCAGTCGGTCCATCTAGATATTCTGATTACGATATACCTTCTGGACAATCATTTTCGATGACGACGCAGATGTATTCATCATGAGCAATTAGTCGGCGATGAGCGCCGTCATACCGCAGCCCTCGTTGTGTCGTACAAAGCAGCTATGAAGCACCGCACTTTCGCATACTATGTTCCGTCGAAAACTTTTAATCCGCTTCCATAGAATGGGAGAGTATACTCTGTATAGCGATCGTTCTTATTCCCTCGCCTCTCTATAGAGTGGTTCAAAAATACACTGGAGCTACGTGTCAGGTTTCCCACCAGCATCAAACTTCATCCCTCTGTGCAGCTCAAGATCAGAAGAGGATAATGGCTACCTACAGTACAATAACTGTATCATACGGTAAGACTGCATGCATGATCGTTATTGCAACACTGAAGGAGTTTGTTGTTCTACCGCGTGTGGGTCGAATCCTTCGCCAGATTCTTATTTTTCTAAACGAAACATTATTGTGAAGGATTTTCTGATTTTGTTATTAATTGTGACTCGTGCCTTCTCATTTCTATTTAACAAAACGAATCACGGTCTGGTCGTAATAAGGTTCCTGTTTTGTTAATCAAAGATTCGTCGTGTTAATTGTAATCTCCATGAATGGGCCTTCTGCGGTCTTTGGCGAAATGTTTTTGGATCCAAACACCTTTGCAACCGACGAATGCACGAGCATCGCAATCTCCTTTTCGACATATATTATTGGAATGAATGATACCACGTCGTTGTTGTTGTTGTTGTTGTTTCTTGAGCTGCTTTCTACACGGTATCATTTATTAAAAAAGATAGTTTCAAGCCCAAACAATCTTGTCTCCTTTCATACAGCATATATCCTTTGTTGGCAAACATAGCGAAGAAGCGAAACCTTTTGCAAAATTGAACATCCATATACATAAACCGCAATAACAATGGACAGCAATGACAGTGTAGCCGATCGGACTGTGCGCCGCAGCAACAACAATAGCGTCGTAAGGACTATTGATGATGAGGAGGTAGAAGAGAGATCGAGGACTCTATCGTCTTCCGGATCCTTTTCCATGGGATCTCAGGCATCGGTTTTGGCCGTGAACGAGGAAGAAGATACACCACGCAAAAAACGAGAACGATCAAATAAGGCTGTCCTCTACGGCGCTGCTGACGAAGACGCCAAGGCAAAAGCAAGGGCTTCCGCAGGCTCGGGTGCACTGTCGTTGCCAGGGGTGGTGGATGTCAGTGAAGATGGTGTGCTTACACCAAGACAGAAGACCAAACCACCAGTCTCTTCTTCACTTATGCTGGATCAGGATGATGGTAAGGGAAAGAAGAAATCTTCCAGACGTGACCGAAAGAGCTCGAGTCGACGAAGTACAGATAGTTCCACCTCTGTGCTCTATGGGGACGAAGACGCTAAAGCCAAAGCAAAGCCCTCTTCTGTGTCCAGCTTTCCAGGAGTGGTGGATGTCAGCGAAGATGGCGTGATCATTTCTAGGCGAAAAGGCAGCAGCAGCAAGCGCTCCTCTTCCAGAGCTGTACTTTATGGGGATGACGAGGATAAAAAGGCCAAAGCAAAGGCTTCCATGGGGGGATCCAGCTTTTCCTCGCCTGGGGTGGTTTCCGTCAGTGAAGACGGCATTGTTACTCCCAAAAGCTCGCGTTCTGTTGCGTCGTCGCGTTCTGTCACATCCGCGCTCTATGGAGACGAAGATGAAAAGTCAAGACTGAGAGCGAAAAGTCCAAGATCCAACAAGCCTGGCATAGTGGCAGTCGATGATGCTGCCAGTGGCTCGAGTAGTCGACGCAGCAGGAGAAGTCCAAGAGGTTCCAGAAGAAGCACTCGAGGTTCCAGACGCACGGGTAATAGTAGCCGACGATCCAGCCCTCATTCGTCTACAAAAAGCAGCAACGATGATAGTCTTGGGAGTCACAGCATCGACTTGTTATATGGGGACAATAACGGCGACGACGATGCCAAGGCCAAGGCCAAAAATTCTTCAAATAGTAGAGCTACGGCTCCAGGTGTGGATCGGATTGGGGAATCCGCATCACCCAAACCAGGTGATAAGGGGTATGTCACAGATCCACTTTTTGCTCGAAATGGAAAATCGTCAAACATTCGAGGTGTTCAGAAGAATGGGGTGGTGGCTGAAAATGGGGTTCTTCAAAATAATTCAAAGAGCAGGGGGGAAATGGATAGGTTGGCCACAGCAGGATTCGATCGTACGGAACGATCCGAAGACGACATGATGGTCATGGAGGATAAGGAAAAGGCTTTTGAAAAAGAGAAAAAAGAGGAATCGAAATCTAAAAAGAAGGGGTTCTTCCTTATTCTTTTGTGCTGCTGTCTTCTCATTTTGATTGCGGCTGGAGTCGGTGCTTACTTTGCACTTCGCAAAGACGGTGACAACTCCACTGACAACACTTTGAAGGAAAACCTGCAAGATCCAACCACCTCGCCTTCGAATGGTCCCTCTCAGCAGAATCCAACTAGTTCTCCGACATTGGGCCAACTCTATGATCCGCCAAGTCCCGAAGACTGCCTTGCAATCGCCAAGAATGAAACCATCTTTGGACAAGAGAATCTTGCACAGAGTGAGTTTAGCATCAACTTGGATGTCACTTTAGATCGAGATGGGGGCATTTCACCAGTGACAAAGCAAGTGTTGATGGATGCTATTCAAGCGAAACTGCTTCCGAAAATTGCAGGTTGCGATGAATCGCTCAATCGACGCACATTATTCCAAGAAGCCAGCCACCGACGGCATCTTGTTTTCGGATCATCTCGGTTTGTAATCTTCAACGCGTTTGTATCGGGGAATGAAGATACGGAAGTAGTGTGCAACGATGGAAGCGAATTCCCTGAACTGTGCCATCGAGTGGTAGTGGATTTGACAGTATTCTTGAAAGGAATCATCAAGTTTATTGATATCGTTAATCTGATTGGAGATGCAGTGCCTGTAGGCACAAACTTGGTGGATCCCTTGGGTTTAGATGTCCCATTCTATGAAGTTAAGATGGTTGGTGTCAACATTCTGACGCCGACAGCAGCTCCCTCGTTCGTACCCACGGAAGCACCAAGCAGCTCACCGTCCGATGTTCCATCATCGACTCCATCCACATCCGCCCCAACTTCCATACCAACAATGTTTCCGACTTTCATGCCATTTCCTGGATCCACGCCGCGTCCGACTCCATCGCCCACACTAGCACCGACCCCGGAGCCAACCGAGGTACCATCTACACAGCCCTCAACAGGTCCTACAGTTGCGGCAAGCTCACTTCCAACCTTGGCTCCTGCATCTGCGGGTCCAACTTCTTCCTCAAGTCCGACCTTGGCGCCTGCTTCGTCAAGCCCAACGTTCTCCTCGAGTCCAACCGTGGTTCCTGTATCTAGTCCGACCTTGGCTCCCATGGTGGGTCCAACCTTGGCTCCCATAGCTGGTCCAACTCTGGCACCTGTGACAGCACCAACAATGGCTCCGGTTCTTGGTCCAACAGCACCACCACCCACAAATGCACCAATATTGGCGCCTGTTGTTGGTCCAACACCGCCTCCCACAAAGGCACCAACATTGGCTCCGGTAGTTGGCCCAACACCGTTACCAACCACCGCGCCACCCACAAAAGCACCAACCTTAGCACCTGTGGTTGGACCAACACTTCCTCCAACGAAAGCACCAACTCCGTTGCCGACGACAGCGTCACCCACAAAGGCACCAACAAAGTTCCCGACTTTGGCTCCTGTGGTTGGACCAACACCTCCGCCTACAAAGGCTCCAACACCGCTACCAACAACATTGCCCCCCACCAAGTTCCCAACCCGTCGACCATCAGTATCACCAAGTGCTTCACCAACGCCGAAGCCCAGTTTGAGCCCCACTTCTTCGCCTTCGGGGTCTCCTATCTCGTCACCCTCGTCTTTGCCGTCCGCCTCGCCTTCCTTATTACCATCATCTTCCCCTTCGATTGTGCCTACCCCAAACTGTTTCTGTCAGAATGTGAACAATTGCGACGCAACGATTGCTGGTTTGAGAATAGGTTGTGATTCCTGTGCTTCCAATGGGGCATGTACCAGTCTGAGTCTGTCTGCTGATAGTGGTGCAACCTTGACAATCGGAGAAGGTGCATGTACCGGTCGAAATAGTTGCCAAGGAGCTACCATCCATACCATTGGTGACGGAGCGTGTACCGAAGCGACAGCGTGCGCAGGTCGACATTTGAATGCAGGCGCAACCAGTTGCACTGGGAGGTTTAGTTGCAGTATCGTGGGAAGCGGTCAAGTGTCCATCAATAGCAACAGTGCCGGTCTATTGACTATAGGAGATGGATCATGCACGGAACAGTACAGTTGCTTCTCATACAATGGGAGTGTTGGAAGCGGTTCATGTACGGGTGAGGGAAGCTGTGGTGCTCGTAGTATTCTACAAATTGGAGAGGGGTCATGCTTGGGTGAGAACTCTTGTTCAGGCTTGGAGAGAACCAACATTTTCAAAGTTCCAGAATCCCCTAGGTCCATCACAGTGGCCGATAACAGTTGCAATTGCGCGGAGTGCTGCATGTGTATGACAGTTGTGAATGTGTCAGGCTCTTGCAATACATCTGGATCATGTTGCAGCGCGAACAATCCAACGCAATACGCCAGAACCTTTTCACCAACAGCTAACCTCCAATAAACTAGCATATATCTTTTAAAGAAACCAAACATGGTTTATGATAATAGTCGTCGTCTTAATATTGAATATTGACACAAACTCTGAGATAAAGCCTATATTATCCGCTTGGTAATTTGTTAACAATTTCCACTATTGAAGATAGCCAACTGGCGCCTGCCGCCTGGTTTCTTCCGTGAGGGATTCTTTCTTGGTGTGACTTTGGTGGGTTGTGGTGTGAAGCTGGTCTTTTGGATTGCGCGGGAAGAGTGCGGTTCCAAAAGGCCCGTCTTTGATATTCCGCGTTCGCGGAATATCAAAGACTTGCTTGCCTACTAGGCCTTGCAGAGACGTAGAATGCGTCGATGTAAGGCCCAACAGGGATGTGGAGGGAGGGAAAGAAAGAAATAAACCTTACTTCTTGACGTATACTCGCACACAAGTTCGATAAACTGATCGGACTTGATGTTGCTGAGCAATGCTGTTGTGACGGTCGTTCGACCGTCGTCAGTATGATGAAAGGAATCCAATGATTCGTTCGTCTACGTTAGAGACGATGAGTATCAGGTACCTGGTACCTGGACCCTCCGCAACTCGTCCGTCCTTCGTCGTTTTAAGGGGGATTTTGCGTATTGAATTTACGGGGAGCGAATACATCATTCTTTAGGGGGAGTTGTTTAAAAGGGGGCATTACGGTTTTCCGAAAAATATTTTGTCGTGTTTCAAATTGATTTGTCGTGTTTCATTCGAGTTTGTCGTCTTTCGAATTGGTTTGTCGTCTTTCGAAATTTCTTGTCGTCTTTCGAAAAATCTTGTCGTCTTTCGAAAAATCTTGTCGTCTTTCAAAAAATCTTGTCGTCTTTCGAAATTTCTTGTCGTCTTTCAAAAAATCTTGTCGTCTTTCGAAATTTCTTGTCGTCTTTCAAAAAATCTTGTCGTCTTTCGAAAAATCTTGTCGTCTTTGTTTCAGCTTGAAGTTGTCGGATGGAAATACATATGCAGCATTCTCGCCTATCTCTCATGATCTTATCATCGGACGAAGATCCGCCCATGAACCACATCCTCACTCCATCGGAGATGACGAATATCACGGCCTTTCTCCATTGGGGATACGTGTGGAAGGGAATCAAATGTGCGAAGGGGAAAGGCGAATGTCTTCCACTTCAAGCACCATTTTGGAGTCTCTCCTTGCCGTGCAGTTTGGATCTAGACCGACCTGCAACTAAGCAACATTGCAGACACCAAGATCAACGAAGGAGACGAAGATCTTAAGTACTTCTTAATGGGGCTTTACTGTCTTCGAAAAGTAGTTTTTTGGTCAACGATCAAAACATGGGAAACGATCAAAAAGATTCAAGACGTGATTTTGTAAGGGAAGAAACTAGTCAGAAAGGTATGAGTTGGGTGCTGTCGACGGATGGTAGTCACCGTTGGATCGATCAATGAGCCTTCTCATTCGGACTGCAGTCAAGATCCCCGATACTACCTTCACAGATACAATAATAAGCCACGGGTTTGGAATTTCGGTAGTGGACAATCGGCAATTGTGGATGCGTGGTCCCATTCCATTCAAGAGCAGTCTTCACCACTCTATAATATTCTGACTGAAGATGCTGTAGATAGATGTAAAGACAATAAACAAGAGTTCTAGACCAGCAAAAGACCAGCGTATTATACATATATCCTACCATCCCTGCTACTTCACTGCAACATGTGATACAAATCTCAACAGATAGATATAAAATGTTCTTTGAAAAGCATTTCTTTCAAAATTCTGCTCGATCATGCATTTCCTTTGACATGTCATCTAAACTGATTGTGACACTCGTCGAACCAGTTGAGGCGTCAGTAGCCCGATTATAGTTGGAGACAACCGTATCTGGGTTGTAGTAGAACTCAAACTTGAGAACGGGAAGCTTGGCAATAAGAATATTGCGAGAAGTCGGATCATGGAGCTTGATAATAATCCAAATCCTGTTTATTGTTGGATTCGAGTTTAGTAACAATTGTCGTCACATCTCCAAATGGAATCCTTTGTGCCTTTCAATGATGCCACTTGATATTAGGCTCCTTCCCGCCTGGAGCCAATGTTTCACCGGGTCCTCCAAAAAAGGCATGTTGTCGCCTTCCTTCATGACCTTGACGTAGCGATAGTTCTCGCACATGAGCGTATTTTCCTGGTTTTTCTGCCGTCCGTCGCTTCTACTTTGGACCATGAACAGGTTTAGACGGGCGTGATGAATTTTGTTGTCGTCGTCTTTTGAATTGATTTGTCGTCTTTCGAAATTGATTTGTCGTCTTTCGAATTGATTTGTCGTGTTTCATTCGAGTTTGTCGTGTTTCATTCAAGTTTGTCGTGTTTCAAATTGATTTGTCGTGTTTCATTCGAGTTTGTCGTCTTTCGAATTGGTTTGTCGTCTTTCAAATTCTGTTGTCGCGTTTCGGAATCTGTTGTCGTGTTTCGAACTGGTTTGTCGTGTTTCGATTCGACCCAAAAGTAGAACTTGGGGCCCCTAAATTTGACTGCAAAACATAATGGGGGAAGACTAGAGAAAAGTGCTTCCCCCCGTTTAAATTGGACGACAGACAGACGAGTTGCTGAGGGTCCTGGTACCTGGTACGCGAACGCAGCTTCAAACTTGAGACCATTAATTCAATTTTTTTGGAGGTTTGATCGTGTTCGCCATTTATTCCCCCCCAACCCATGCAAGACTCTCGGGGGAAAAGACCTACCTGGGGTTTTCACGTTCGCCTTTATTGTGTCACAACAGAAGCCTATCGAACATTTAATTTGCCTTCTTTACGATTTCAATGACCTTCTTGTGAGATCCCTATTATCCCGGTCACAGAAAAAAAACAGGCTCGCGAATTTTTCACCATAGGATACGAACCTAACCAATCACACATGAGAGTTCCTTTCATTTTGAATGAAGCAACTTGAAAATCATTACCATGACAGCGCAAGAGCATAATCAAACGTCTGAGATTGACAAGTCGCGATCCTCCGGAAAATTGTCGGTGAATTCTCGCAGGTCAAGATCAGAGAAAGATGGTGAAGACGATGATTCGTCTCAATCATTGGCAGGTAATAGATCTTCTCAAAAGTCTAAAAGACGATCGAAGGACTATAGTGAGGATGCCACGGAATTATTGACCGTTGACAAGCCTTCCCAAAAGGCGAGAAGAAGATCGAAAGACAGTAGTGACGACCATTCGGAATCGTTGACTGTTGGCAACCCTTCGCAAAGGTCTAGAAAATCAAGGTCAGAAGACGACAGCAAAAGCGGTTCCCGATCATTGACCTCATATAAATCTTCTCACAAATCCAAGCGAAGATCGAAAGACTATAGCGACGACGATTCGGAATTATTGTCAAATGCTAAATCTTCCCAAAAGTCGAGAAGAAGATCGAAAGACTATAGCGAAGAAGACGATTCTGAATCATTGACTGTTGGCAAACCTTCTCAAAAATCAAAAAGACGATCGAAGGACTATAGTGAAGATGACACGGAATTATTGACGGTTGACAAGCCTTCCCAAAAGGTGAGAAGAAGATCGAAAGACAGTAGTGACGATAATTCGGAATTGTTGGCTGTTGGCAACCCTTCGCAAAGGTCTAGAAAATCAAGATCAGAAGACGATCGCAAAAGCCGTTCCCGATCATTGACCCCTAATAGATCTTCTCACAAATCCAAGCGAAGATCGAAAGACTATAGCGACGATGATTCGGAATCCTTGAACCTTGATAAAACTTCGAACCGGTCTAGAATTGCAAGATCAACAGACCGTAGTGATGATGCTGAATCCTTGAGGTTTGGTGAACATTCTCACCGGTCTAGAAAATCAAGATCAAAAGACGATAGCAAAGTTGGTTCCCGATCGTTAACCCCTAACAGATCTTCTCGCAATAAGCCGAGAAGAACAAGATCATTGGATGACAACGAACCTCTTTACGACGACTCTGGCGATCGTGGCACAAGTCCAAAAAAAGAACGGAATGGCGCAAGAGCAACCAGGCCTGGCGCATTTTCCGAGGATGCCAGCAGCCACTCTGGTGATCTACGAAAAAAGCGAATAAGTGATATCACGGCACTGAAACCAGGTGCGGTTCCTGAAAATGCCATGCGTAGTTCTGGTGGAGGCTTACGAGCAATCAAGCCAGGTGCGGTTTCTGAAAGTGCCAACAGCGAATCCAGTGAAGGTACAAGACCAAGAAAGTCAGGGGAGGTGCCTGAAAATACCAGTAATCATGATTTCCGAAACCAGGATCAAAGCGGCTCTGAGTTGTCCAAGCCCGGTGCTGTATCCGAATCTGCGATGTCTGATCGGGCTCAGCGAAAGGTAGGGAGGGCTAGTGGTATGTCAGCAAACCTGTCAATGGTACATCCGCAGATAGTCGGGCAAGATGGTGTTGTTGTGGAGGCTGTCGAGGTCGCTTCCAAGCCCGGTGCTGTATCCGAATCTGCGATATCTGATAGGGCTCAGCGAAAGGTAGGGAGGGCTAGTGGTATGTCAGCAAACCTGCCACTGGTAAATCCGCGCACAGTCGGGCAAGATGGTGTTGTTGTGGAGGCTGTCGAGGTCGCTTCGAAGCCCGGTGCCGTTTCCGAATCTGCGATGTCTGATAGGGCTCAGCGAAAGGTAGGGAAGGCTAGTGTTGGGGAAGATGAATTTGTTGTTGAGGCAGCAACTGTGGAACGGAATACTCTGGAGGCAGCAGCTGCGAACGCAACAGCTGTGGATGGCAATTCGGATGAACACGGAGTCCAGCGAGTCAGACACGAGTACGAGACAAAAGAGAAAAGGCGTCAACGAGAAATTGAAGAGCAAAATCAAAGGCGAATATTAGAAGAATTGAATCAGAGGCTCGAAAATGAAGCAGAACAAGACCGGATTGCCAGCGAGGAACCAAAATCTAAAAAGAAGGGTTTCATTGTAATTATGGTATGTCTGCTGATTCTGATTGCGGCTGGAATCGGTGCCTATTTTGCACTTCGTGAGGATGACAGTGACACTGGCACCCAAAAGGCGATTGTTGGAGATCCAACATCCTCGCCTTCGTTTGGGCCCTCTCAGAGTCCATTTACGACTTCCCCTTCAAGTTCTCCGACTTTCGCCCAGCTGTATGATCCGCCACGTCCCGAAGATTGCGTTGCAATTTCCAAGAATGAAACCATCTTTGGACAAGAAAGTCTCGATCAGAGTGGCTTTGGCCTCAACCTGGATGTCACTCTTAGTCAAGCTGGTGACATTGCCGATGGTACGGTGCAAGTCTTGATGGACGCAATTCAAACAAAACTTCTCCCAAAAATAGCAGGCTGCGATCAAGTTATGAGCCGAAGGACTCTGTCCAAAGCGATTGTACCAGTAATTCGAGGTATGAGGCACCAGAGACAGCTCGCTATCGGAACATCTCGGTATGTAATCTTGAACGCGTTTGTATTGGGGAATGAAGATAAGGAAGCAATGTGCATCGATAGAAGTGAAATTCCAGAGCAGTGTCACCGAGTGGTGGTTGAGTTGACAGTATTCTTGAAGGGATTCATCAAGTTTATTGACATCGTGAATCTGATTGGAGATGCAGTGCCTGTTGGCACAAACTTGGTGAATCCTTTGGATTTGGACGTTCCATTCTTTGACGTTAAGATGGTTGGTGTCGATATTCTGACCCCGACAGCAGCTCCCTCTTTCATGCCCACGGATACGCCGAGCAGCTCACCTTCAGATCTGCCTTCCGCGAATCCTTCCACATCTCCCCCAACATCCACACCAACAATGTTTCCGACTTTCATGCCATTTCCTGGATCCACTCCGCGTCCGACTCCATCGCCCACACCAGCACCGACGCGGGAGCCAACCCCGGCACCATCTACACAGCCCTCAGCAGATCCTACGGTTTTGGCAAGCTCAATCCCAACCTTGGCTCCTGCATCTGCTGTATCTCGTCCAACTCTGGCTCCGGTAGTTGGTCCGGCACCTGCATTGGCGCCTGTTGTTGGTCCAACACCGCCTCCCACAAAGGCACCAACATTGGCTCCAGTAGTTGGGAATACGTCACCTCCTACTCTAGCGCCGGTAGTTGGTCCAACACCGTTGCCAACAACGGCGACACCCACAAAAGCACCAACCTTAGCACCTGTGGTTGGACCAACACTTCCTCCAACGAAAGCACCAACTCCGTTGCCGACGACAGCGTCACCCACAAAGGCACCAACAAAGTTCCCGACTTTGGCTCCTGTGGTTGGACCAACACCTCCGCCTACAAAGGCTCCAACACCGCTACCAACAACATTGCCCCCCACCAAGTTCCCAACCCGTCGACCATCAGTATCACCAAGTGCTTCACCAACGCCGAAGCCCAGTTTGAGCCCCACTTCTTCGCCTTCGGGGTCTCCTATCTCGTCACCCTCGTCTTTGCCGTCCGCCTCGCCTTCCTTATTACCATCATCTTCCCCTTCGATTGTGCCTACCCCAAACTGTTTCTGTCAGAATGTGAACAATTGCGACGCAACGATTGCTGGTTTGAGAATAGGTTGTGATTCCTGTGCTTCCAATGGGGCATGTACCAGTCTGAGTCTGTCTGCTGATAGTGGTGCAACCTTGACAATCGGAGAAGGTGCATGTACCGGTCGAAATAGTTGCCAAGGAGCTACCATCCATACCATTGGTGACGGAGCGTGTACCGAAGCGACAGCGTGCGCAGGTCGACATTTGAATGCAGGCGCAACCAGTTGCACTGGAAGGTTTAGTTGCAGTATCGTGGGAAGCGGTCAAGTGTCCATCAATAGCAACAGTGCCGGTCTATTGACTATAGGAGATGGATCATGCGCGGAACAGTACAGTTGCTTCTCATACAATGGGAGTGTTGGAAGCGGTTCATGTACGGGTGAGGGAAGCTGTGGTGCTCGTAGCACTCTACAAATTGGAGAGGGCTCATGCTTGGGTGAGAACTCTTGTTCAGGCTCGGAAAGAAGCAACAGACTCCAATTTCCAACTTCTCCAAGGTCCATCACAGTGGCCGATAACAGCTGCAATTGCGCGGAGTGCTGCATGTGTATGACAGTTGTGAATGTGTCAGGCTCTTGCAATACATCCGGATCGTGCTGCAGTGCGCGAGATCCAACTCAATACTCCAGTTCCTTTACACTAACAGATAACCTCTACTAGAGTAACAGGCATCTACTTGTTTAAAAAAAGGATGATCGTTATTTATTGGAAATCAAGTATCATTTTTATTCTACAAAACCTGCGCTACCGGATATATAGGATTGGGTCGTGTGCGACCCCTCTCAGAAACCTTGATCCGTATTTTTTATGTATATAAATAGATGTGCGAACAAAGTTCATGGAACTCCGTAGAGCATTTGAAACTTTTCAGAAAGGCGCATTTACTGTTCCTTTTTTTTGGCAAGACCAGAATATAAAACGCAAAGAGACACGCCAATATATCAAAATACAAATGAACTAGATGTTATTTGTCATGGTACGAACAATAACATCATATACAGTAAAGTTTATTTCCGCAAACTAATTTAGAAGCCAACAGAAAGATAACTACATACTCTTTCATTGCAGCGCCTTCGGAATCGCGTTACCATGGAAGAGAACGAACAAGACAACCTATCCTCTTCAGGAAGACAAGACAAGAATAAGTCCCGATCGTCACGAAAACCCTCCAGCAAGTCTAAAAGCAGGTCAAGGTCAAGAGACGATAGTGAAGATGATGACTCCAAAATGTCCAATAAGACTGAAAGAAACGAAAGAAAGAGTCGAGGCGATCGCAAGAAGTCTCGAAGAGACGATGACGTTGAAGATGATCGTAGCAAGAAACGAAGTGCCGCAAGTAGTAGGGCAACCAAGCCAGGTGCTATTCCTGAGAAAACCAATAGTAGCAGTAACTCTGATGCTCGGAAAAAGGAAAGGAACGGCGCAAGAGCAACAAGGCCAGGCGTAGTTTCTGAAAGTTATGGCAGTAATTCGGATGCTCGGAAAAAGGAACGGAACGAAGCAAGAGCAACAAAGCCAGGCGTAGTTTCTGAAAGTTTTGGCAGCAATTCGGACGCTCGGAAAAAGGAAAGGAACGGCGCAAGAGCAACAATAAAGCCAGGCGTAGCTTCTGAAACTAATAATTCTGCTGATACAGACAATAAGAAACGAAGCTATGCCAAACAGGCATCCAAGCCAGGTGCCGTTCCTCAGAATACTGCCAGCAGTAATTCCGAAGATCAAAAGAAAGGTCGCAACGCTGACAGGTCGACAAGACCAGGTGCTATACCTGAAGATGCCATGGCGCTTCGGGATCGTCGAAAAGAGGATAGGCTTGCAAGCTCTGCCAATAACCAGCCTACGTCCCCTGCTCGGACCGTTCAGCAAGATGGCAACGTCTTAGAGGCAGTTACTGTGGAAGAGAAAGATGGCAATGCTGAGGGACACGCAATAGAACACATGAGACGCGACTTTGAGCAAAAAGAAAGGAGGCGTCAACAAGAAATTGAAGAGCTGAACCAGAGGCTTGCCGCAGAAAAAGCAGAAAGAGAAGCGAAAGAAGAAGCACAAGTAGAAGAGAACAAGAAACGGAGAAAGCAGATCATCATTGTTATTATTGTTTGCGTGTTTGTTCTAATTGCCGTCGGAGTCGGTGCATTCTTCGCTCTCAACAAGGATGAAAGCACCGAAGAACCAGTATTAGCTGCTGCAAATGACACCACCGCAGTTTCGAATCTTCCCAGCAGTGCTCCCACGGATTTTTCTGCGAGCAGTCCATCAAGATCTGTCTCGCCTTCTAGGGCTCCTTCCGGTTCTCCTACAGTCCCGCTACTATACGAATCACCAAGTCTTGAATATTGTATTGCCGTTGCCCAGAACCGTACCACATCTGCAGAACGAGCAGAGCTGGATCAATTTGACTTTGGTCTCAACATGGATGTCACTTTGGAAACACAAGACGATATCAACGACAACCAAATCCTAACGCTTTCAGCGGCGATTCAAGAGAAGCTTGTCCCTCCGTTGCTTGGGTGCATCAATCAGAATGCGACCCGCCGGAACTTGGCACAAGAAGGAGAAACTTCAATGTTCCGGGGTGTCGTTCGAAAGCAGAGGCATCTTGCTCTTGGTGACAACCTTCGTGAAAATCGCTTTGTGATTGCCGATGCGTTTGTACAAGGAAAGGAAGTGCAAGAAGCATGTTCGGAGGATGCAAGATTTCCTACCCAATGTCACAGAGTCTTTGTGGAGCTTTCCGTTTTTTTAAAAGGTCCCATCCGATTATTTGATATCATTACTTTGATCTCCGAAGCTGAGGACGAATTGAAAGGTGACAACGAAGATGATAACTTGAAAGGTCCATTGGAGATGGAATCCCCATTCGTTGATGTACGCCTGACCGGTATTGATAGCCTGTCACCAACAACAGCCCCCTCTACGATGCCAACGAAACTTCCGAGCGGTTCACCGTCGGCTGTACCGTCGGGGACTCCTTCGACTTCGGCTCCGACGGAACCACCCATTCCTCCACCTACAGCAACTCAAACGCCTGCAACTCCGTCGCCGACTAGCAAAGGAACACAAGAAGAGACACTTCAGCCAACAGTGATGACCATTGGTGGACTTTCTCCAAGTTCCGCTCCATCCGAATCGCCATCCGAGTATCCAACCTTGGCTCCCGTATCGGGTCCAACGCCACCTCCAACGCCACGTCCTACCTCGTTGCCATCCCATGTACCAAGTCGAAAGCCTTCATCTACACCTTCTTGGGTCCCAACACTGTCACCGATGGCCGACCAGACTCTGGCACCAGCTGTAAACGTGTCACCGCCCACCTTTGGAGCACCCTCTACCGCACCGATTGCCTCGCCGAGTCCACCTCCCACAGCAACAGCAAGTGGATTTCCATCTTCAAAACCAAGCTCTGCACCATCTTCCAAGCCATCATCAAAGCCAAGCTTAGACCTATCTTCCAGCCCTTCAATCGACCAAAGCTCGCCTCCATCAACCAACCCATCACCAAAACCAAGCATGATTCCAACTGCCAAGCCACCAATGCCATCAATGAATCCAAGCTCTGTACCACCTGTCTTCATGATTTCTGATCAGCCATCATCAATGTTGGCACCCTCGGGCTCCCCAACCCTTTTCCCGAGAGATGCCCCAGGACCATGCTTATACTGTACACACCCAAGCGCTTGTGATGAAAACACTTTGGAAGACTTTGATATTAATTGTGGTTCTTGCAATGCGGCCAACTCGTGCACGATGCTACAAGAATCAAACGCTGATAATGCCGAAAACAATATCGGACAAAATTCTTGCACTGCAGAGTACGCGTGCTCCGGAGCAACTGTGAACGGAATTGGCAGTGGCAGTTGCACAGGAGTGTCCAGTTGTCGTTACCGACGTATTCAAGTTGGGGATGGCAGTTGTCTTGCTGACAACTCGTGTACCTCTCCGACTACTCCGCTAGACATTGGCGACAACTTGAGGAATTTCCTGCTAGTTGGAAACGGCTCCTGTGGTACTACTGCAACCGCTCGTTTTGCTTGTTTCTCAGACCGAGTAAGAGCAATGGATGGGTCTTGTATCGGTGAATATGCATGTGCGGGGCGGTCTGCTGTCAATATTCAAGCAGGTAGTTGTATCGGGAAGAATAGTTGCAGCGGTAAAGAGTATACAACTGGCGAAACCCCCACAGGTGACTTTGACAAGCAGATGCTAGTGGCCGCCAATAGCTGCCAGTGCGAAAAGTAAGTGAGAAGGCACTGGGTTTGATATCTCATTTGTGACTTTATTGCTGACAATGGTTCTTGTGAATCGCTTGAAGTTGTTGCATATGCATGAGAACAATTCGTGTCGCGGGTTCCTGCAACAGTCTTGACGAATGTTGCAGTCGTGAGGAGCCAACAGAATATGCAGACGGCTTTACACTAACAAACAATCTCTCCTAGAAAAGCATCGGCTGTCTTCAACGGACATGATGCGCCAACTGTACCCAACGAATTTCCAACATTTTGCTCTGGTACTGCGTCCACACTTCCAACTGTTATTACACCACTAGGGGGCAACATTGGAACTGTACTTATTGGTCCAATGCCACCAGCCAACGCGATACTCAATAAACTACTAGACTAGAGTATGTAGCATACCAAACCGGGACAATATGTTTCTTCTTTCGTATTCAAAGCGATTGCAGCTAGGAATTTTGTTGTTGGGTCTTACAAAGCAAAATCGCTGGAATGCTAATCAATCATCGGTCGTCCAAATAATAACTATAGGCGCGTCTCTATTTGAAAGAGCCCAAAAACAGAGAAACAAGATTTCCTGCAACTAGAAGTTTTGTCATTATTCCAGTGCAGTAGTGCAATATAAGGCCCCGCCATAACACATATACCTTTGGAAGCCTGTGGTATATATTGTATACATACTGCCGACACAAACTCAGTTTGCTTGTTTCTCCTACATGGGGACCACCGCGTATATATAGCTGATGAGGCTTGTGTACCGGTGCATATTCATGTTGGGGGCGTGACACGAAACTCAACAATGATTGCCTCGGACTGTTCGAATTCCATTGTGACGGATAGTAGCAGCCATCGATCAAGCATATAATAGGTACACAACCGACAATATATAACATCCCCGGACTTGTTCCGTTTTATCAGGTGAAATTATAGTTGCCGCCAAGAGATGATGCCAGCCAATGTGAATAAAGTAATTGAGAAGATAGCGTTTTTGGTATCTCACTGTCACAGTTGATTGTTGCTGACACTCGTTCTTGTCATCATCTTGAAGTTGTTGCATATATATATTGAATATGCATGCATGCGACTATGCGTATAAAGTTCGTATACGAGGGTTGACACGATAATTACAGTCCAACAAAATAAATCATGCATTCGGCTTTTTTTTTAATTTAAAAAAAATACCATTGCAACAACTCTTTGAGAGTTAATCTTTTGTTTGAAACGTGAGCATCCCAAACAGCTAGAGATATATCATAACTGCTATTATTCGTTTGTACGGTACCGGCACCATATACTGTAGGTATTACAGTCTCATCGCTGCAGGGTGGTGAGATGTGCACCTTCATGTTTTTGGTGTGTGCGTATCGTAGTCAATAATAAGATGACGGCGGGAAGACGACGATATCGTCCGCCATTTCGAATGCTGTATGAAGTATTTCAAACCTACTTGGCAAGTTGGCCGGACCGTCCGATATTAATATATAAAAATGTCAAAATATGATACGATGACCCGGCATATTTGTTGATGCTATACTATGCCGTGCATGTGATTTTTTCATGTCTTGAAAGCGCCCTCCCAGACTTATTCGACTTTTGGATATTGCTGTATACAGCCGTCATCAGCAGTCATCATTATAGTCTACCGTAGTTATATTACAGTACCAACTGCACCTGAGTTGTATTGAACGTCAAAAATATATTCGATTGCCTTTAGTTGTAATCATATACCATCAAAATGAGCAGTGGTAACGATGAGATGCTCTTAGTAGGAGCCGATGAGAAGGCCAAGGATCGCAGCAGCCGAAGGGACAGAAAAAGCGGAACGAGCAGCCGCAGAGACAAAGATCGTGATAGAGTTAATAAGGATCGTGATAGAGGCAACAAGGATCGTGATAAGGAAAGACGAAGTAAGGGCTCAAAGAAATCCAGAAGCAGCGATAAGAGCAGCAACAGTAGAAGTCATCGCTCTTCTAGTACTCGATCTCCAACCAGAAACAGCAACAAGGAAAGAACCACAAGCAGCAACGACAAATTGATATTTGGTTCTGATCAAGATGCCAAGGCCAAGGCAAAAGCAGCTAGCGGAGGACAGAGAGCTGTCAAGCCAGGTGTGGAACGAACCACAACAGATAACAACTGTGACAACTTGCTCTTTGGTACTGATCAAGATTCCAAAGCCAAGGCAAAAGCTGCTAAACAGGGACGAGCTGTCAAGCCAGGTGTGGAACGCACAACAGCAGACAACAACAGTGACACCTTGCTTTTTGGTACTGATAAAGATGCCAAGACAAAGGCAAAAGCTTCCGGAGCAGGAAGAGCTATCACGCCTGGTGTCGTGGCACACCATCATGTTGAAGAATCAGAAGCTTCCAGAAATGATCGTTCTTCTCGGCCTTCTCGTGCCACCGGTATTGCGGCCATAGCTACAGTTGGTGATATTGACTCCCTGGCTATTCCCAATGATCCATTGGAAACGGCTGGACCTGAAGAAACGTCCAAAAAGAGAAAGTCCAAACAAGAAAAGAATGAAGAAGAGTCCAAGAAGAAGAAGAGATGGATCATGATTTGTCTCTGCCTGTTGTTCCTTATCATCGCCATTGTGGTTGGCGTCATCTTTGGGACGCGTGGAAGCAATGATGATGATATCAGCACAACATCTGAATCTCCTACTGGCGCTCCTTCCGTTGTTCAACTCTATGATCCACCAAGCACTGAGGACTGCGTTATCGTTGCTCAAAACCGTACCACGTCTGCACAAAGAGAAGAACTAGATCAATTTGACTTTGGTCTCACTGTTGAAGTCACTTTGGACACCCAAGATGATATGACCGAGAACGAAATAACTGCTCTCTCTGAGGCGATTCAAAAGAAGCTTGTTCCTCTGTTGCTTGGATGTCCCGGTGTTGTAAGTCGGCGCATTTTGGGACAGGAAGGTGGACCTTCGACGATCCGAGGAGTCATTCAGAACCAAAGGTCTCTTGCCATTGGTGGTCTGCTTGGTGAAAACCGCTTTGTGATTGCAGATGCTTTTGTATGGGGGAGTAAGATGGAAGGAGCCTGCTCGGAAGCAAATTCATCTGCACAATGTCACAAAGTTTTTGTGGAACTCTCCGTTTTCTTGAAGGGGGATATTCGGCTGTTGGATGTTATTGATTTGCTCTACGAAGTCGAGGGTGAACTGAAAGCGAACAATGAAGAGAATGATAATAACTTGAAGGATCCATTGGAAATGGGATCCCCATTCCTTGTGGTACGGTTGGCTGAGGGAAAGAGTATAAGCCTCCTGACACCCACAGCAGCCCCATCGCAACTTGCAAGCAGCTCGCCCTCGGCTGTCCCATCGTTGACTCCATCGAATCTAGGTCCGATGGAGCCTACAGCTGCCTTACCCACAATAATGCCAGTTGTGGGAGGTACTCCGTTGCCAACAGACAAAGAAGGAGAAGGTGGAGGAGAAGATAATCTTCAGCCGACAGAAATGCCTGTTGATGGATCGTCTCCAAGTTCCGCTCCGTCCCAATCGCCATCCAAGTCTCCTTCCGAGTCTCCTTCCGAGATTCCATCCTTGGCTCCCGCATCTGGTCCAACGCCCCCCCCAACACCAGGTCCAACTGGATTCCCTTCCGTTACTCCAAGCCTGCAGCCTTCATCCAAACCAACATTGTCACCAACATTGGCTCCAGTGGCTGGCCCATCGCCTCCGCCAACAAGCTCTCCAACCATAGCACCAACCGTTTCACCAACCCCGCCTCCAACAGTTACCGCAAGCAAAGCGCCAACGTCCAAAGCGCCAACGTCAAAGCCAACTAGCCAGCCTACCATGAGTCCATCTTCCAATCCATCACCGCCGCCAACCAAGAATCCATCTCCAGCGCCATCAGCCAAACCAAGCATGGTTGCATCTGCCCTCCCGACGATGAAGCCGAGCATGCTTCCTTCCGTTTCCCCATCTATGAAGCCGTCGAAATCCACAGCATGCTTTGAAACCAATGATGAGCTCCGTAATGCAGTTGACATCTTACTTAGCTCTAACTTGCGGCCGGGAATTTCGCAGGGAAAAAAGGAAAATGTCAAGGCCCGATATGGGCCGATCGGAGACTGGTGTTTTGAAGCCACTGTGACCAGTATGGAAAACCTCTTCAAGGATAGAGGTGCATTCAATGAAGACATTTCGAAGTGGGACGTTTCTACTATGACCAACATGGCCGGAATGTTCAGCAATGCGGTCACACTTTTTAATGGTGCTTCAAACTTCAACCAAGACCTGTCATCATGGGACGTTTCATCTGTGACCGACATGAGTGGAATTTTCCAAGGTACATTCTCTTTCAACCAAGACCTGTCATCATGGGACGTTTCATCTGTGACCAACATGAGTGGAATGTTCCGAGGTGCATTATCTTTCAACCAAGACCTGTCATCATGGAACGTTTCATCTGTGACTGACATGAGTGGAATACTTGGTCGTGCATCGTCCTTCAATCAAAATCTTTGTTCATGGGGCTCACGGCTTCCGAGTAATGATGTGAGTGGTAATTTTGCATTTGTTGGCGCCATTAGCTGCCCGTCACAATCCAATCCAAACCTCTCGTCGAATCCGCGTGGTCCATTTTGTCATCGGTGTTCAAATAGGTAGTAAATATAGGACTATTGACCTAATTAAATACACATTTTACTTTTGAATAGTGTATCCTTATTATGCCTGACGCTGTACGATCCGGCCTTTAGACTTGGTTGAAAATCTTGTGTTCCAATATTCATCGCTACTTTTAAAATATTGAGCCTATATACTGAAGTCCCGTATACTTTGAATTGCCAATATTGGTCTTATAATATGATTCAGATTCATAGTAGTACAGTACAACCAATTCTTCTGAACCGTATACTAACGGTATTTACTAGTCGGAACGAGGCCAACAGGAAATTCGAGACAAGAGGACTCACAGTTCCACAAAAGCATTCCAAAGTGTCGCCCATGGTCAATACTTCTATGTATCGTGAAAACTTTGGTCGTGGTGTCATGGTGATACTGGTAGCTGTGAATCCATTTCAATGCAGTAATGATCTATATGCACGTGCCTTGACGGTCATACCATTATCGTGATCCATTTTTAGCAAACAGCCTTTTCTGGTAGATTTTGAATGATAAGCTTATTTCTGATCTCTCAACGTTTTCTTCCAGGGCGCTGTCCGCGACTCTTCGAGAATGTCACTTGGATCAAGGAAGAATTAAGTCGGAAAGATCCATTGGAAATGGCTTACAATTCTGCGTCTTTACCGGCAGTGCCATCCATTTCTCCAAACCTTCAACCTTCCTCCCTGCCCATATGCTGACTTGAATTGTACCTTCACGATGATAGTGCAATATATTCGAATATCCTGTCCAGCCTGATCGCTCCGTCTTCCAATCCATCCATCAACGAAAGCTGAGCATGGTTCCATCTGTCTCCAATAAGTCCACGAATGAATCAATCCTTTGCAAATGATATCCCACAGCATCCGCACCCAAAATGAATTCAATACGAGACCAACATTATCATAACTGTTGTCATCAGATGGTACCTTTGTTGTGCCGTGCAGCAGCCCTGCCAGTATGGTATTATTGAGGAGTTGGGGCTTTGTAGGATTGAAAAGCATCGATCCAATCATCCGTCCACTATACTAGCATGATGCGCAATTTGCTATAGATATATATCGATGATCAATATATAAAATGCAGTAATCCATATACCGACATCATCATTTTGTCATTGCTCCAGTATATACACGTACAAGTGTACACGTACGAGTACCGTACACGTTGATTATAACTGCCGTGTATCAGCACACACGACTAACAAGACAACATTAAATACCGCGTTAAGGTCGTGGTAACAATCCTTTTACTAAGGTAATGTACGCATCTTCTGTGGGATACGTCATTCTGATCAGAGACTCTTCCAGAGAAAAAGAAAGTAGAGTAGGTCGCGACATCGACTCCAGAGCCGCAGGACAACAGGTGCAGCACGATTTGGTCTTATTCGTCACACAACAGGTCCACGGCTGCATAGTCAAAAGGTCAACACCCCCTTTCCGATTCGATGGATCTCACAACCTCTCGCCTGGCCAGCGAACTGTAACCTATCATGAAGCATCATTGCTTCGCAGCTCTCCTTCATAGGGGTAGAATGCCGTGTATCAGCACACACGACTAACAAGACAACATTAAATACCGCGTTAAGGTCGTGGTAACAATCCTTTTACTAAGGTAATGTACGCATCTTCTGTGGGATACGTCAATAACGTTCGTTTGATTGCAGCGTTATTATTTCATATCTTGTCGATGAAAAAGGTTGAATCTAAAATAGAGTATGCCCGGTATTCCTTAAATAAGAGAAGCATAAGTGTAAAATTGTTTACGCTCAAAACTATTAGAGCAGATTGTTTTAGAGGTATAATAAGGCGCCGCACTTGTTAGAATGCCGAAAATGAACACAATAACCAACACTATTCGACAGGCTTTTGAAAACCGAATATCCATGCATTCGGTATTTTAGATAGTGCATGTGGATATTATTTGTACTTCAGTCTTTCCATACTACCAAAATCTAAGCATAGCGCAAGTTATCATACTCGTATCGCATTCACACTTTTGACACCCATGACAGACAAAGAGAAAGCATCACCGGGGAGGCACAAGAATAAGTCACGATCTTCTGGAAGACCCCCCAGACGATCGAAAACAAGAGAAGCGGGCGATGAAGATCCTTCCGAATCATCACATGCATACGACCATGAATCGAGCGAGAGAAGTGCTGGAGCTGGTCGTAAATCGACACCTAGATCCGAACCAAGATCACCAAAGAAAGATCGTGAGCGATCCCCGCGCAGATCTCCGAGACGATCGAAAGCAAAAGGAGCTGACGATGAAGATCCGTCCGAGTCATCCCACCTTGAGTCAAGCGAGAGAAGCAAAGGTACTGGTCGTAAATCAACGCATAGGTCAAGATCACCAAAGAAAGAATCTGGGCGATCCCCTCGCAGATCTCCTACTACTAGGCGATCGAAAACACGAGGAGGAGCTGATGATGAAGATCCTTCCGAATCATCCCACCTCGAGTCAAGCGACGCTGGAAATGCTCGTGAGCTCCGTAGTAAACCAGAACAAAGATCACCAAAGAAAGAATCTGGTGATCGCAGAAAGGAACGAAGCGCTACAAGAGCCACCAGGCCGGGCGCTCTTCCTGATATTCCTGATTTGAATGTTACTAATGGAACCAGCAATTCTGGTGGCCGTAGAAAAGAACGAAGCGCCGCCAAGAAGGCCTCCAGGCCTGGTGCTGTTCCTGAGACTGAAGACAGTAACTCTGGCGGTCGAGAAAAAGGGCGAAGGTCTACCCAAGCTTCTAATCCATCAGGTGCTGTCTTCGACGATCCGATGACTCTGCGCGCACGACGAAAAGAAGAAAGGGCTGCCAATAACTCTTCGACTCAATCAGGAGGACCAACTTCCAGCACGGGGGTTTGGCTCGAGGCGACAACCGTGGATGGTAACCCAGAGGGAAAACAAGTGGATCAAATGAGACGTGAAATAGAAGAACTCAACGAGCGACTGGCGGAACGCGAAGCAAGTGGTGATAATGAAAATGAAGACGACACAAACGAAGAAAAACGAAAGAAGCGGAAAAAGTGGATCATCATTGTTGTGATTTGCGCATTATTTCTGATAGTAGCGGGGGTCAGTACTTTCTTTGCTCTCAGTAAGGATGAAACTACTGAAGGCGCTACGACTGCAAATGAAGAAAAAACCAACGATCCGAACAATAATGGCAATGCCGTTGTATCAAGCGCACCCACAAGTGCTGCTTCCAATGGTCCAACCGAAACTCAGATATATGAACCACCCAGTGAAGACGACTGCCTCGCTATTTCCAGGAATGAAACCATCGCTGGACAGGCAGACTTGGATCAAATAGAGTTTGACATGGCCTTTGATGTCACTTTGGAAACGGATGGTGATATTGCCGAACAAGAAGTGCAATCACTTTTGGATGCTATTCAAGAGAAGCTTCTTCCACCATTGGCTGGCTGCCCTAGCCCAACAATAAATCGAAGAGGGCTTCTAACCAAGAGCGAACAACCAATGATAAGAGGTGTCAGGCACAGACAACTTGCAATTGGGGAGAATCGATTTGTGATTTTCAATGCATTCGTCACGGGCCGAGAGGATCCGGATACGATGTGCTTGAACACTCTAGGTTCGAACTTCTGCCATAGAATCGTGGTGAAGGTATCTGCCCTTTTGAAAGGGCCAGTCCAGATGTTGGATATTGTTTTTCTGACCTCTGAAACGCTGAAAGAGGAGGATCCAGACGATGGCAACTGGAAAGTTGCATTGGGATTGGGCAATCCATTCTCCGAGGTACTCTTGATCAATATCGATAATCAATCCACGACAACTGCTCCGGCTACAACGCCGCCTATTGTTCCTGGAGAAACCCCATCACCGACTCCAATACTCGAGGGCACATCAAACCCTACTCGAATGCCAGCTCTAGGTTCGACATCACAATTCCCAAGCTTTTCACCATCAATAGTAACACCAATTCCATCAGTGAACCCTTCCGCGGCCCCCGCTGCTGGTCCGACACCTCCTCCATCTGCAATTCCAAGCATCTTGCCATCCGATGCGCCAAGTCTACGTCCGTCATCCTTACCATCTTCATCACCTACACTGGCTCCAGTCGTCGGGCCAACACCTCCGCCAACCTCACTACCGACAGCGGCACCCTCGGCGGTACCATCATCTTCACCATCAAAAACAACATCCGCACCAAGTTCAGTTCCAAGTTCGGTTCCAAGTTCAGTTCCCAGTTCCGATCCATCATCAGAACCAACATTAGCACCAACTTTTGAACCAACAAATTCCCCGACAATGACACCAACGGCGACCCCAACATCTTCTCCGACAGTGACACCAACACAGCAACCGTCAACGTCACCATCTCTTTCTCCCACAGTATCCCCACAATGCTTTCAAACCAATGCTGATCTCAGCAGCGGAGTCAGCAATTGGTTTGGTACTGCATTGCAAAAGTCATCAGTCGAGAACACATATGGTCCGATCGGGAACTGGTGTTTTGGTCCAGGTGTGACCAGTATGGAAGAACTCTTCCAAGGTAAAGATACATTCAATGAAGACATTTCAAACTGGGATGTATCCTCTGTCACAGCGATGAATTCAATGTTCTTTGGCGCATCAGCGTTCAACCAAGACATTTCATCATGGGATGTTTCGTCTGTTATCGAAATGAATTTCATGTTCTTCGATGCGGGAGCCTTCAATCAAGATCTATCATGGGATGTGTCTTCGGTGACTGCAATGGGTTTCATGTTTCACAGTGCAGCTTCCTTCAATGGAAACATACAATCTTGGAATGTTTCATTGGTTACAGCTACTTGGGCAATGTTCTTTGGAGCATTAGCTTTTGATCAAGACTTGTCATCATGGGATGTCTCCAAAGTTGAAGTCATGGATAACATGTTCCGAGAAGCAACGTCTTTTAATCAAGACATTTCATCTTGGGATGTTTCTTCTGCCATTAACATCGCACGAATGTTCCAAGATGCAACATCCTTTGATCAGAATCTTTGTGCATGGGGCTCGCGTCTTCCGATCACTACATCTACCTTTCTATTTGCCAGCGGCAGTAAGTGCCCTTTTCAATCGGATCCAAGCTTCTCTTCGGGTTCAGCAGGCCCATTTTGCTACGAATGTGTCTAAATAACAATAATTCAACCAAAATTGAAAATATGGATTTTACCTCTATAACCGTAGTACATGTGTATGGTGTGAATGGTGTAACCTTTCATCCCCACTTTTGACAGTAGTGTTCGGCGATGTTATTTGTCAATAATACACCGTATCCGAATCTTGCGATCTGAATGCAAAATAAAATATCATGCATCAGTGTATGTTATTGTATGGGCTTCTGCGATATTGGTTTGGAATAGCAACAACAAAATACAGCACACAACAGAAATCTGAAACCAAGGTCGCCCTCGACAAATCACCATTGGCTTCATGACTTAAACATCCAAGTTTGACCATGCCTACCTTCGTTGCCAGCGTTTTTTTCTGGTAGCATCTGGCCATCAACATCTATTCCAAACCTCTCAGCAAATCCACCAAGTCTATTTTGTCAGAATTGTGCCATATCACTTTTTTAAATAATCTTAGTTTTGATTCTGTGATACGCTAGTCTGCTGTAGCTTCAGTACTATACCTGAGAGTTTTGCAAGCAATTCCACTTGCATCTGTTTCGATCAGTTTATGGCAGGCTTTTATCATCAGCATGAAGCATCCCATGCATTCGAAGTACCTGGTACGTATTCTGTATTGCATCATCATATTTTGGCACTATCGACTACGATGAGTATAATTGATTTATTCCAAGCATTTTGGATTTTACCAAATGTGAGTCGCAAGAAAGGTACATTAGCCTACATTATTTATATTATAATCAAGGAGGGTATAATATCCCTATAAAAACAGAAACAGCAGTCTACCGCATCAGTTCCGACTTTTCATTTTAAATGGTCTATTAATACTTTTAATTAACACCAACATTGGACATAACGGATGTACAGATATACGGTATTTGAACCAAATCATGAATGGTTGAATCATGAATCGACTCCGTGGACTCAACGGTCATTGGAAATACACTGACCGGGATAACGAATTCTAAATTGAGAAGTCCGATGTCAGCAAGGAGGCTTATGATTATCTTGGATTGCCATATGATTGATCTTGGATGTATGCCAGAATATAAGTAACTGATCTTGAATGAAGGTCATTGCATGATCAAGCAAGATCAGAATGCTACTGTACGACTAGAGCCGATCTGAGAGATTTCATCAGATCAGAGCTCACAACAACAAACAACAACAAATTCAATTCAATCCAATCTAAAACAAACTTGATATCAATCTCAACTAATCTTAATCAATCAATACATTACAATCACAATCGTTTATTGCCCCAAAACTTTTATTGAGTCATATCGATTGAGTTTTGTTACACGCTCCCTCTGCGCAAAGAACAATTTAACTTTTCTTTCAACTGATTCAAGATGGCTAGAACCAGACGTCAAGCTCGTCGTCGTTGGAGACCTCAACAATATGCTTCAAGTGATGATGAAGCACAGGACTCCTTCAGAGCCGAAGAAGAAGTCCAAGAGAACGACTCCGATCTTGGAGAACGAGGAGACGCCGATGAAGACCAGGATCCACAAGATGATCCTGATGATGGTGATGATCCTGACGAGAATGAGGATCCAGATGACAGCGGAGATGATGATAGCAACGAAGAAGATACTGATGACGAGAAGGAGGAAACCGATGGTGAAGCACCTGGATCTCTAACACCAGGATTGGCTAGTATGGGTAGGATCCTTCGCTATGAAAAGAAGTCAGATAAGAGCATCTTCAACAAGGCAACATCAAAGCTTGACGACGAAGGCTTCGACTGTACTTCAGACCAATTCCTTCAAATCATGAAGGCTTTGGAACATCGAGGAAATAACTTTGGATGGAACGACACTGGTGGGCTCTTCTGGGTACTAACACCAGGAAGACAACCTGTCAACTTGCTACATAGCTATGGGTCAGTTTCATTGCCACGAATCCAACGTTATGAGCGCACCTATTGGGACAGTGGAAACCGCAAGAGTCAAGATGACAGAATGCTCTATGAATGCATCATGAATTCGCTTACTCGCGATGCAAAATCTAAGCTCAACATTCACTGGGAAGACTTTCAACTTGGACCGAACAAGCTTCCTTCCGGTCTATGCTTGCTCAAAACATTTATCCGTGAGGCATACTTGGATTCAAACGCGACTACTGGTATGATTCGTGAGCAGCTTTCAACGCTGGATGCATTTATCCCAACTGTGGACCATGACATCAATCGGTTCAATAATCATGTCAAGATGCTGTTGATGGCACTTCATGCGCGTGGTGAGAAGACTTTGGATCTTTTGACCTATCTGTTCAGGGCCTACAATGCTTGCAAAGACGAGAACTTTGTCAAGTACATTGGCGATCTTCAAACCGATCATGATATGGGAACGAAAGCGATCGATTCCCGTACACTTATGAGTCTCGCTGAGAAGAAGTACCGCATCATGGTGACGACGAAGACATGGGAAGCACCTTCAGCTGCCCAAGAGGAAATACTCGCTATGCAAACGCGCCTGAACAAGCTCTCGGATAAGCTAGCAGCCAAGACAAAGGATGGAAAGCAACGCAAGAGAAAAGAACTTGGTGCTGATAATGGTTCACCCAAGAAAAAGGTGAAGTTCGAAAAAGGAAAAGGAAAGAAACAAATGAAGGAAAAACCTGACTGGATGTCCAAGCCACCTCCCAAAACCGAACTAAACAGGCCTCGATCTTGGAACAACAAACAATGGCATTATTGTTGTAAGGAGACAGGTGGAAACTGTGGTGGTGTCTGGCGTGTCCATCTCCCAAAGAATTGCAAGTCCAAACCAAAACACGATGATGAAAAGGAACCAGCCATTGTTGCCAAAGAGGCTATTGACGATTTGGTTGGTGGATACTACTCTGAATGATGGTGCTGGGATGCACTCAACGGTATCAATGTGAACGGAATCTGGAAATTCCTTTGTGGCAAAATAAGCTACTTAGGATGTTTTATGCTCCTATATTTCATCACGTACCTGAGTGTGATCCTTGGCCCAATCAAAACAATCAAAAATGCTACTTTCCCTGAATACGTGCCCAAACGCAAACGATGGAATCGTGCACGCAAAATCAGGCGTTTTATGTGGAATTATATCGTGGATTTGGATTACTATGTTTTTAACGTGGTGATTCGCTGGACTTTTGCCATGGGACTATGGACTCCAAAGGAAATCCGATTTGAAATTCGAAGAATGATTGCAGTGGCGAATTCATTGCAAGACAGTACTGATCAAATCACTAGGTCAAGCTGGTTGGATCGCCAAACTGCTAAAGTGAAGAAACGCAAACGGAGATACAATCATTTCAAGCGCAAGATCATGGCTATGACTGCAGTTGAATCTCCATTGCACATTCATGAAAGTACCAATTCTGAAGGAGAACGGATTTATTCCAATCGTGCATCATTTGATACTGACTCTTGCCAAGTTGGTATTGATAATCGCGCGAGTGCTTGCATCTCTCACAGAATTAAAGACTTTGTTGGTCCTTTGGTAAAGGTTAACCGATCTATCAAAGGTTTTGGTGGAGAACGTGTCATGAATGTCTATCAAGGCACCATTGTGTGGAAATGGCAGGACAATGATGGGCGATTGCATCGATTTCGAATTCCCAACTCTTACTATGTCCCCAAAGGAAACTGTCGACTTCTCAGTCCCCAACATTGGGCTAAGTCGCAGCTTGGAAGGGGGGTATCATCAATCACACAATATGGAATTGGTGAGACAACCACTTTTGACAAGTGTGTTCTATTTTGGGATCGAAAGAAGTATTCTTTGGATGTACCCCTTGGTCGCACCGACAATGTTGCCACCTTCTATTTGGCACCTGGCTTCAAACGATTTGACCTCTTTTGTCAAGAATGCAATTTCGACTATGACAAGAGTGAGGAGGAGCCGATTATTATCTCTCCAGCCGGTGTTGTCAGTGATAACGAAGAAGACGACGACGATGATGATGATGTTCTTCCACCAGACCCCCCTCCAACTACAGCCACTACCTTTTGGTCCCGACTGACTACCAAATTTCGCCGTCCGAACCACAAGGCCAAGGCCCCTCAAACTCAAGCTCGCGAAGCAGCTTTTGACTTGGATGGACCAACTACAGATGGTGCACCCAAACCGGCGGTGATAGCCGAGGAGGAGGAGAAACAACCAACAACAGATAGCCAGCAACTACTACGGCTACACCACCAAATGGGTCACATCTCTTTTGCGAAACT